GCAGGAAATGGAACCCTACATTTGAATTTTCATTTAAAAAAACTCTGAGATCATAGCCAGTGCTTTTGACAACTACATGTGTAATACAAGTAATTTGAAATACACATACATGTACGCATGTCCTTTATCACAAAAGCCACTTCAAAATGAAAACGTGTTTAGAACATTAGCCTGAAGATACCTTTAGTTATCCCCACCCTAAGTAAATAGGACAATCTCAATTGAAACTGCCATAAACAAGAAATACAAATTGTGCTTATGAGTCACAATGTTTTTTTTCAATAAAACCCCTTAATTTAGACAAAAAAGAAAACAGGTATGAAATACAGGTAAATTAAGAAGAATTGTCATACTTTATTATCAGAAATCCCTTACTATTTCATTTTCCCAGGGTTTTATCTCAGATATTGAATGAATGGAGAGAAAACCCCACGATATAGTATGACTCTAAATGTGTGGGAGGTAGACTACAAAAGAAAATCAAGTGACAGTTGAAATTAAGAGATCAATAAACTTTTGACTATGTAGGTAAAATAAATCTAAATTCAACCTATTTACGTATCTAAATTTTTCTTCTCAAGTCAAGACGAGTTTGATGTCTGTGTGGACTGCAACTGACTATTCAAAATTTGAATTCCCCAAAGGCCAAAAAAAAAAACGTTTTGATGCTAAAAAACACTAAATTTGACATCAAACATTTGTGGCTATCTCCTCTACACTAGAGCCTTTATGAATAAAAAATAACTCTGTAGTTAATTTAACTCAGTGTTAAGTTTTATGCATAGTTTTGCATATGGCCCAGTTAACATTTCACAAAACTTTTCACCAAATCATTTCAAGGCCCAAATCAAAACAAAAGAGCAAGATCATTCAGTTGATACAAAGTCAAATTGTTTACCTTCTGCTTGAAATAAATTCCTAAATTCTCCACAAATCATTCTATTGTTAATAAATGAGGTTTGAAAGGTAAAATACCGAGCAATCTGTTGTTTAGTTAAAATCAATGTCATATTTTACATATACTTTATTCTATTTCAATATTCTCCAACTAACTAAAGGTCATATATTATTGGTATACCGGTACTAAATCAATACGGTACTTGAAAATTACCATTTAAATATTGATGAATTTTTCTCACCAAATTTTCTGAAGATGGGTGAAGATGCACTGTCTTCAAAAAAAGGCTACTTCAGGTTTTTACTCCAAGTAACTCAAAGAAGAAACAAAACAAAATATCTACTTTTCCATCAGAATAAATGTCCATGAGATTGAAGGATAATGTGACTGATTAGCATAAGCTGTAGTTTGTTTCCGAAAACGTACTTATATTGATGAGTAATTTCATGTGAAAAGTATTGTTTAAATATTGTTTAAACCACAAGAAAAACATAAACTATGAAAAAATAAAATTCAGCATGGAAAAAATCACATAAAATATGTCGCTGGTAATAATTCATTTGTTCCAAAAATCATGTTTCTTAAAGGTATTTGAATATTCATATTTTATAGAGAAACCTTACCTATTTAATTTTTATGAAATATTGTGTATACAAAAGTCAGAGTCTAAAACACAAACTGGTAACAAGACTACATAGAAATTTGTTTTAAATGTCACTATTCCTGGTAATAAAAAATTATATTTCTTTAAGTCTTATGAATATTCATATTTGTAAAGAAAATGTTACCTACTTATCCAAGATGTAATATATATTTATAAAAGTCCCACAATGTTCAAGAGCTAACTAGCTAGTTAGTTTTGTTCTAGTCTACTAACTTGGCTTTGTTCTAGTCTAATAACTGTCAGGTATTAGTATAGGTAGATTAAAGGTGTAAGTAACAACTGACCTCCCCTGGGCTAACACCTCTATTCAACACCTCTATTATCTGATGAACCTTAATGAGAATTGAGGCCTACACAAGTTATTGTTGTCCCATATTTCATGCTATCTGAACTTTAATAGATATACATTACTGTTAATTCAGATTAACACTGCACTGGATGCAGCTGCAATCAAATGATTTAATTTATTTTCTCACATTTATAGATCAAATCTTAAGTAAAAGGTTCTAGGTATTCAGAAATTCTGTCATAACAAGTTTGGGTTTAATGCCATCTAAATTGTCCAAAACAGTTATCCATATGCATGTTGGAACTATCATCTTTTAAAGGGATTGTAAAGAGGATTTCTAATTAGTTACGTACATCAAGAATATTGAGAGCATCAATTTGCGCCATTCCAATTTTCAATCAGACGTCTGTTGGTTTAGTCATTCAGTAAGAAGTGTTTTATGACAAGCTATAGAAGCTCTTCCCTTATTAAAAAACATATTTTTCTGTAAATTGCAAACACTGCCACTTTAAATTCACTGAATTGGGGTGAATTAAAGACTGAGAGACTATCTAGTACAATCTTAATCCAACTTTAAATATCAGGGTCATTGGCCTTTACTATGAGATTAGCTTTATCATTAATCCTCTTTCACTGTAATTAACACAGTATTATCTATATTATAATAACTGTGATAAATATAACCTGGCTACTGCATGTTAAAATCATGCAGATAAAATCCTTTTGAAGCGAATCTACATTATAACAGAAGTGAAATCGATTGGATATTTCATGTCATACTTTTCTGGTCTGGATTGCCAGGACAGTAACAGGAACAACCAGACGATTTTTCTCTCTGAGTCCTTGAACCTGCATCAGTCCAAAATAAAGATATTGTGTATTAGCCCTCTAAAGACCCACATCCCCATCATAGCACCTAGTTGTCTGGCAGATAAAAATGCAATTTAACTGGACCATTAATTTTACTCCTTCCATATCATGATTTTTTGATAAGCTTTATGAAAGATTTTAGAGAAGACATTGATGCTATGCAACACAAATATGCAATCTAGAACATATTATGCAATGGATTTTATACTTCACTGTTTAGTAACATTATATTAATATAATTGTTTCAGATCTTTTTCCATCTATTTAAACAATATTTATTTCATTATTACAATTCATACAGGTATATTACAGATATCAACAAACGATCATCAACAACTCCCACATTTTGATCCAATATTCAATGAGTTAATGTCACCCTGTGTCAGTGAATTGTTTTTGAATGACATAGGGGCACAATATGTGCAACAATATGAGAGATATGACCTGAAAAATAATAGTTACCTGCCCAAATTTGTTTTTTAGACTGCATTTGCCTGACTGGATACCATAAACATATGTAGTTGTTTGTGATCGTGTGTCAGTTGTGTGTAATTTGTTTATGAATTAAGATGAACAAGTTGTAAACAAACTGATATCTAATTATTAATTACAGATATCAAATCTTACATTTCTCAACAAGTTCAAAAGTTCATTTAAAGACAAATTTGTGATGAAAACAAAAATTCAACTGATTGCACCTGCCCTAACAGCTATCCTCTCTTCATTCAAATGAACTATATTTTGTAAAAATATTTCCTTAAAAAAATTTGCTAAATAATTGTACCATACCATGAAAAACCCATCAAAAATAGAATTTAGATCAAAAATGGCTGTCCTGGCATCAGTGAAACCATCCTCTCGAAACTAAATTCAAATAATATATTTCATTAAATGAATTCAATGTTTAATCACAAAAATTCTTAATTTGAAATCACACCTACACTTCAAAAATTCTTTGTACATTATAATAGCCCAGAGTATAATTTAACACATCATTAGTAAGCTTATTGATATTGATAGGGTGAAACTATAAATGTCATCCTGTAAAATGTCAATATTATAGCAATAACAATTGACATCCACAATATTGTCATAGTTATTAGACCTTAATTAACTTGCCTTCACTATCAAAATATTAGCTTTAGATCATAATGTCACTTTCATATTAACTTTCATTTACTTTATTCAAATTTGACAAAATCTTAATCAATCAAACATTTTCAAACAGTTTCAATATTTACCCTTACAGATTTTACATTTGATTACCTGCACATATGTTAAAATTTTGTAGCCTACTGCCTTATCAAATAAAGAAGAGCCCTGGATATTTTAGCTAAATATTTTCGGCAGTGTGATATTGTTCCGTCTACATTTTATATCATCTTTTCCATCAACATTAATGGTGTTAATTCTGCAGCAGTGTCGCTATTAAGCAATTCATCGAATATGACGCAAATTCGGCATTTTATACCCACCGTATCACCTATTGAGCCGCCGAATTTTTCAAAGATAATTTAGTGATACACTGTTGCAAATTTCTAAATTTAAATTGTAAATCTGAGTGATATTGGAGCAAATGACAAAGATTTGACCGATAAGAATTTTGTGATGACTTACCTTTACTTGATCAACTGTATTTTGCAATTTAGATGTTTTCAGACATCAATGTTTGTTTACCAGTTTTCCCCGTTCCTGAACATACCTTCAAATTGAAATGGCTTCATTATCCAGACATAAAATTAAAAGTAAAGATAACGGTAAAATCTGTCTGGAAAATCAATACTACTTATCGATGGGTGTAAACTGCTGGATGCCCAGTAGCCCACTTTAGATGTTCAATGTAGATGCATATAAGATACGTTTGTTAGAATAACATTACAATATAAATTATTGTAGGAAAAATAATATGGGAATTCAAATTGCTTAGTATAGTAAATCTTTCTGTTTTGAATTATCATTCTAGTCATCCTAGCATTTTAGATACACCATGTCGTGTAGTGTTGCCAGATCTCTAGACTGGATTCTTATGCATTTATGAAATGCCTTGCTTTTGAATAAATATTCTTTTCCAAGGTAAGAGTATGATATGGAATGTTTGTCTACTTCACATATTTTGTCTTATTAATCACTGTTTGTAGATGTATGAAAAAATTAAAAAAATAAATTTTCAATGATATTTAAGTCTGGCAACACCACACTTTGCCAGAGATCGAAACAATATGGCGGCAAAACAAACTAACAAATCTTGAAAGTTGAGCTAAGAGGATTGAAAATCTAGAATGGCTCATTGTAAGTACATCAAAATGGGTATTTTTCAATCACAATGATCTGATGACCTTGGGTTGTCAGTAACTGTTCTGATTTTGTCTGTTGACAAGATCTAGCTGCTTAGCAAGAGGTTACAGTGCCGAACACGATTTCTCTTGCAATCATAATAATCATAAAAATGTCAACAAATGTCAATGAAATTCAACTCTGCCTAGACCACAATCCTCAATCGAAAATCACATGTCTTCATCCTATGTAAATGATGTGCTGTTTTAGTCTGCTGCAGATTTTATTTAGTTTTATTGAAAAACCTGTCAAACAATTTCTTTCATTCATCAATTAACAGCATGTCCAGACTTGTTTTATGAGTGGACTACTCATATTCATACAGATTGTATCAACCTATTACTCACCCAAGAGTGTTGTTTATGACAATCAATTTCAAAACAATCTAATAGTAATGGTAAACTGAACTGCCATATTAGCCAGTGAGTTGCTTTAGACTCCATATAGATTGAATTGCCAAATAAGAACCCCCAAAACTGAAATATTTTAACAAAGCCCCCTTTCAACCATATAAATAGTCCTCATCAAATGTTGATAAAACTTATTTTAACATTTTGACATTTTTTTATTTCTGATTTTGTCCTTCTGATCATTTTAGTGTGGCAGCATCCTTATGTCAATGTCTTCAAACATTTCAATCTATCAACATGGAAGAAATCAACGAAGGAAGGAGAGGTTTCTACAGCAATGGTAGGATCATTTGAACTCTCATACCAGCCATATCTTGTTAACAATGCTTATGAATTTAAACTTTTCACAATGAAAGTTTCAGAAACAAGCTTACAAATTGAATTCAGATATTTTTTTCCCAAATTTGGTTGTCTTTCCTACATTTGATTGATTAAACTACTATAATAAATACAGCTGAATAAAGAGCAAATTGAATTCACCTATATTTTTAATTTGATCATTGGTGGAATTGCTTTAATGAAATGGTTCAATGTCAGACCTCATTACCGGCAAATTCTTTCAATAAACAATTCACTGAGCAAACTTCTATTGAATGGTTCCACTTTCAGTAACAATTCTTTGTATTATTTCAGGACAAAACTTTGAAAGGAACAGTGTTCAGAATAACAGGCTCCATCCCTGCTGGAAATTACATTCAACTACCCAAAACAGGGTCTCAGTCATTGGGATTAACAGGACGATACATGTATTTGATGTTTAGACCGATACCAGCTAAATATTTTGTCGTCCATGTTGATGTTGCCACTCAAGATAATTTAGTTGTTCGAGTTTCATTTTCTAATCTCTTTAAAGAATTTAAATCAACTTCTACATGTCTACAGTTTCCATTTATATGTCATGCTTCTAAAGGATCTATCTCTTCATTGGCTGCTGTTGGAGCTAAAGGTATGTTTTATGTATATTGGCTTTACTGACAAAAGCTTATCTTACATTGTAAAGGCATGTTTTGGATATAAATCCTAATCAGATGAATGCTGGGTTGGTTATAGGAAGGATGGAAAATTTGATATTTGGAAACACTATTTATAGTATGAGCAAAGTCAGGAAACCTGTAATTTTTTAGGACATAAAGAATCTATAGTTTTCTAAATCTATATTAATATGTAACATGTAACACTCAAATCAGCTTATTTCATTTTTACTTATTGCCCTTTAATACTTGGCATAATAGATAATTATTATTAGAATCATTTACTTAATGTATTTCTATAATTTCAGCTCAAATAGGTCCAACACCATTATCAGCCAGATGGACTGTTCTTTCACTAGACTTTCAGTATATATTATCAACGTATTTAAATAGAAAATATCACTTTATCAAGAGTATAAGACTATGTGCTAATATGATAGTCAAGAATATTTATACTAGTGATATGGTGTATGATCCAGGTGGGTTTAAATCAGGGCTTTTAATTAAGTTGTATTTGCGGGTCCTGTCCAATTCAAACTCTTAAATGCCTGGCTACATGTTTGATCTTCAGGGGTACTGAATTGAACCAATTTTTGTGAATATTATTTATATATTGGTATAAAACCTTACAGTAATACATAAGAATGTCCAAATATTAAACCTGTCCTCTTAAATAAAAAGTGTCTGCTCTTGTGTATGAACATTCTTATTTTTGGTAATTATTGAATTGCTACCAAATTTGGACAAGATTCTGACCTTTATTTCAATCACGTATGGTGTTCTTTTCAGGAATATCATTTAGCGAAAGTAAGAAAAGGGGAATGATTCCTGGTAATGCTGCTCCTATGCCCAGAGAAATGGCGTTTCCACTGCTAAAAGGCTCTGACTGGCATGAAGTCTATGATATCATCAGGTAAGTTGGAAGTATTTGTCTAAAATATAATTTCTACATATTGCTGAAACCACAGATAAGTTTGCATTTTAGATATTATAAAAAACAACAGACAACAAATCATATGCTAAGTTGGTATTGATTTAATTGATATGAATTCCCAAATTTTCATCTAATATGTATTATGTATTTAAACACTCACATCTTTCTATGCTTGCCAACAATATATGTTTACTTGAAATGGTGTAGGTGTATTGAATAGATCAAGAACAATATTATAGATATTTAAATATGAGCATTATGATTTATAGATTTCCAGCTGATTCTGAGATGCAGCCGTTTGATTCCATACAGTTCTCTGACAGGAGTAAAACAGGAAGTATAGTAGAACCTGCTAGACAGTTGTCTAAAACAGTAGATGTTAGTAAATGTGTATCTGATAGAGTCACAATGATTAATAAAGTTACAGCTCCTAGAGAGGTACAATTTAAATTCAAATCCATTCTAATGTTTTCAGTATTTAGACAAATAAAGGAAAAGTTTCTGAAGAATGTTTAAACTTAGGTAGCTCATTTCTGAGATATTTCACTTAGATTTTAAAAAAAACACAGAATATTAAGCATGAAATAAGTCAAATAAGTTGGTTATCGATGACTATTGTTCCAGGGATAGAGATAGAGTTTACTCACCTTCTTGAGGTCACTTTGACTGAATTTAGCAGCTCCTCCAGATTGAGCTTGAATCAGAAATGCTGTTGTTTAAGCTAGTGAAAGAAAATGGTTGACTTGCTTCAATTTTTCGTGACAATTATTTATTCTGTTTTTTAGAAGAAAGTACGTAAGACAGTAAGAACAGAATTACCAGAAATTGGTACCGTAGATACCTGGTCTGTAACACAAGACAACCGTGGTGATGTTCATCTATTTGCTAAAACTGATGATGATGTTGTGGTACATAGAGATGACAAATATACAGGCAGAGAGGTAGGAGATTTCATTGTTTCTTGTTCATCTATTGTCTGTGTGGATCAAAATTTAAGGGTAACTTCTTTAATAATTGACCAATCTATAAGCAGCAACTTTTGGGGGTTAAAGATGGCATAAGATAATGTAATTGGTCAAAGACACTTAGGACGTTATTTGATAATTGACTTCTTCAGAACTAAAATATGATATATCGTTGTTACTTCAATAGTATTCTGTATGCTTGTGTTAATTGTAGATAACAAGAGATAAAGTCAAACCACCAGCCATTATTACAGGAAAAAAGACAACTTATACAGTAAGTATATAAAGCTCTGGAAGATCAACAATAAAGGAAGACTCAAAGTGTTCCTATGATGAACCATTTAGATTACTAAGATTGTGCTTCACTTTGAATTTTGTTTCTTATTAATTTCTGAATATTTGGTCTAAAAAGACTAAGACTCAAAGTCTTGTATCAAACTTACATGTATAATGATAGAGTCTTTAAAATATGTTTTAGCAATTGGAGCCTGACCCAATATTAAAGTTAAAGAAAATTGTGGGATTTGGTGGAGGAACATTTAAAGAGGTAAAATTTTGATATCCTACGTGATTTTGGTATCAATGAAATATTTTCATTATCATAAGCTTAACCAATGAATTTCATTTGGATATATTATTTCAAGAGGTGAAATTAGTGACCTCAATCATATTATGAACAAAATCAATTAAACCTCTTTTCTATGTCTCAAAGATATTTTTGTACCTCTATAGAGGTTCTTGACCAACTTCTTGTTCCAGATAAGACTTTCACAGGTGACCAAAATTAGAACCCAAGACCATTATTTGTTCAGAATTTCTTAACTCTCACCAACTGTGCCACAGAACATCCTTATAGAAGTTAATATATAGAATATGTGATATGTTTTGTAGGTGTTATGGGCACAAGAAGGTACTACAGTAGTCTATCCATGTTATGCAGTAGTAGTAGCTATGAAAGTTGATACTGGTACTCAGAGATTTTTCATTGGTCACACTGATAAGGTACTCATGAATATTTATGTATATCATCATTATGTAACCATTTGCAAAGATGAGAGGACTATTGTATATTTAAAGCACATGTTTAAATTATAGATTTTAACAGAACTATGGTGCCTTATAAGCAAACCCATATTTGAATTAATTTTTTTTATAAATAATATGAATTAATTATCAAGGTTATGTTAAATTGCTTGAAATATATATTGTGTTCCAAACAAAAAGTATTCTTGCAAAGAGAAAGATAGTAAATTTTCTATTAGTTTCTTATGAAAGCTTGAACTGTAATAATTCGTCTCTTTATAGATTTCAGCAGTTGCGATAACTGGTAATTCTAGTCTATTAGCATCAGGACAGACTGGATCAATGAGTCTTGTAAGAGTATGGAGATTTCATAATGCTGAATGTTTATCAATGTGTAAAACACATGCTCATTCTTTACATTCCTTAAGGTAAGTAGGTTGGGGCGTCTCAGTGAGTGAGATGCTTTTTTTGCTTATTTAGATGTTTGGGATTCCATTCCAACAAGATCATATTGGCAGGTTTTTCTTCTGAGTTGTCCTGTGTCAATAATGAGTACATTATGCTTACTGATTTAAATAGGAAAGACTGTCCTTACCAAGTTTTGTTTCTCTGTAGACAGCATTTTGAATGGTTAGCTCAATAAGGTTCAGAGAAGCTATAAATATTAATCAGATTTAGATGTGAATGGTTGTATTATTTTATATTGCAGTTTTTCAAGTGATGGAAATGTTCTATGTGGGGTTGGTAAAGATGGTCAAGGTAAAAATGTGAGTATCATACTAATTCTACCTTTAATAGAACTAACTGTCAAATCTTTATATTTGCATCTTTAGCATCTTTCTTCATTACAATCGGTAAATAGGTAAATATTTATATGAGTATATCTTTAAAAAGTTATTTTGATTGTAAATCTATTATAGATGGTAGTGATATGGGATTGTAGTAAAGTATTAAAACATCGAGAGATGTCTGTCTTGGCTAAAGCTCATACTGATGTAGATATAGCTAGAATGAAAATAGCTCCCTTTGATAATACCCGGTAAGAACTTATTCCAATTTTCAGTCAGACGTCTGTGGCTCTTACATTTCCACTTAAACTATGTGTTTTCCTGTTCTTATATATCAATAGCAGCTTTTGTGATGGTGACTTCATAAAATGCCTAAATGGAATTGTAGTTGCAAGGCACTGAATGTAGATAGTTTGAACAAATTGTTCTATTAATCCATCACCTTCATGTATTTGTCTATGGTTTAGAATGGTATCGTGTGGGAAAGAGAATATTAGATTATGGAGAGTGAAGGAAGGGTCATTACGATCAGCTCCTGTTAATCTAACAGAACATCATAATATGGATTTAACAGATATTTGTTTTGAAGCTTGTGTTCAGCCTGATAGAGAATCAGCCAATAAACTTCTGTAAGTTTCTTACTCTTTACTTTTGTTTTCTTATTTTCATTCTATGATATTGAGCTAGTAGAACTTGATTTGTTTTGTGAATCTATCACAGGATAAAGTTAAGTAGATGTATAATGGTATAATGGTTCAGATATCTGCCCTCTCTTCTTCATGTGTACAAAAAATAGTAGATATCAAATACTTACAAAAATACTCGAAATTACAGAAATTACTTGTGGCATTAAAGTTTTTTGATAATGAATTTTGAAAAGGCTGGTATAACAAAGTGGTTCCACCTATTAAGCTGTAGAGAAAGTGAAAAGATACTTAATTTTTCTATATTTCTGATATCACATTCAGTGCTGTAGAATAATTAGTGTTTTATTAGTGCTGTAGAAGCCTCGTCTTGTGTCTGTAACTAATGACCCTGTATATTTTATTTGTAGATATGCCTGTAGTAAATCAGGTCATATATTAAAGATAGATTATAAGAAGGTAACAGTACAACATGTTAGAAGATTATTACCTGTTAGTAAAAAAACAGATCATAAAGACATCAAGGTTGATACTAAAGGTTAGTGGTGATTATTTTAGCTATGAGTACCTTGTAAATATTGAGCATGTATATTGGAAACTTTAATCTCTTACTCAAGTAATGAGGGATTTCGTATGTACGTATGTAAATATAGCTTAATGCTAGTTATTTTCTCTGAAGATCACATGTTCTTTGGTAAAACCTAGACATTTATATAAACCAGATTGGCTGCAATAGTTTAAATGGTATTTCTTGCTATTGATATACCTGAACTTCCCACAGAGAAGTATGGACTTTTAATGCCATTTTAATGACAAAACTTTGTGCATTCTGAAAATGAGTGAGAATTGTATTTGTTTCAGGAACAGGGATATGTATTAACAGTATGTATGTAAGTGAAGCTTTTTGTGTCACTGGATCAGATGATGGGTTTTTAAGACTATGGCCACTAGATTTTGCTCATGTATATTTAGAAGCAGGTAAGATATTTCAGTTGTTTGTAGCTAATATGGCATCAGAATTACGCTTTACTTACTCAGTTTAGTTACATGTGTTTCAGACGTAAAGTGCTACATGGAATCTAGGAAAAGGAGACAAAGTTGACAATCCTAGTTTACAGAGTGGAACAAGTATTGAAATGTCATGTGGAATCCTACTAATTAAATGTTGTCATTTCTAAACATGATTAATGACATATCCAGAATTTTTATTTCTTGTGATATTATTTTATATTTTAGAACATGAAGGACCAGTTACTGCTGTCAATCTATCAGCTGATGGTTTAAAAATTCTAGCTGGTACTATAACTGTAAGTCAGTCTTCTTGTTTGTATATTTTCTTCTGTTAATGGTTGTGCAAGTTAAACACAACTAAATTGACAGTTGGAAATTGAAAACTGTCAGCTAATGCCACTGTTTCGGTAAAATTTTCACACTCCTTATGTTCCTGTTTATGTGCAGAAAAGAATGTAAGATTTGAACGAAGCCAGGAGCACATGTAACTAACTAACTCATAAAACAGTTTTGTCATTACTATGTATATGTGTATATTACAGGGTAATATTGGTATATTAGATGTTTCTACTAGAGGATATAGTACTATAATGAGATCCCATACCTCTAGTATATATAGTGTAGCTATTGATCCCTATAGAAAACATATAGCTACAGTATCACAAGATAAAACTATCAGAGTTTGGGATGCTGAAACCCTACAACAGGTAATTACTATAGTTTCTTGTGTAGTTTTAAACACACTGTGCTCAAGGATATATAGAACCAGCTGGAGCTTTCTAAAATAGTTTTGGAATCTACCATTGCTCTAATTTTTGACCTAGAATTAGCTGGAAGAGATAGTCCCTATGTACTGCAGACCTTTCATGTTAAAGATTGTTGTTTATTCTTGGAAATCTATGATTAGTAGAAACATTTACGCTTCTACCGAAATGAAAAATACATAAACTTAAACTATATTTCATTTACAAACTATATGTATATTGTTTTGTAGCTGTATGATTTTAGTTCTGCTAAAGAATGTCCATGTACTATCAGCTACCATCCATTAAAACAAGTATTTGCTTGTGGGTTTGAGAATGGTATTATTAGAATATTTAATGTATCAACTACTACAATGTTAGCTGAACATAAGTGAGTTGTTTACTTGTTTTCTTCTATTTAAGGATGCACCAAGAAATATATGATTCATCCTCAAAATGTTTTTAATTACCAGTTAAGCACATACAAGCTTTGTTATTATAATAGAAATTGGAGATTCATTATCTTTTATTTTCTAGTGTATATAGGATGGTTTCTCTATCATTATTGACATAAAAAAATGTTAAATGCTCTGTCCAGTAAAAACTTACCAGTGATGAATTTAGCTGTATTGATACGCCATCTCATATCAACTACAGTTGTTTCTTTTTCATTGCAGACAACATAACAGTATGATAACAGGACTGGTTTATAATCCTAAAGGAGATTATTTATACAGCTGTGATTCACTTGGAACATTAGTGTTATATGATATTACCACAGATACTTACAGTGTTAACAGAGTGTTAACTAACACTGTAGCTAGAGGTGAACGCTATTCACCTAACGCTCTAACTGTATGTCCTGATGGTTCTCGAGTAGCTTTTATTGGACCGTCTGATTTTACTGTCACTGTAGTAGAAGGAAAGAGTCTAGATGAGGTATACATTTTTTCAAGTTAATTTCGTAGATAGATTTAAGGTCCCAGTTTTATCTGATACTGACTGGCTTTTATCATCATTGATAGCTTGTAAGTGTACAGTCAAAAGAACTAGGTATGTGTATCAAAGACAAGGTTTGATGCAAGAAATGCCATGTGTTTACCAATTCATTCTCTTGATAATGCCGCCTGTGAGCATGTGAAAATTTAATAAATTGGAAAATAGTTCGTCTATTCCTTGTTTACCTCTTCCGATTATAAGGAAACTTGCCTTATATGAAGAATTTTTTGCCAATATTATAACTGTTATAGGTATTAAGAATAGATGTAACTAATATGTATCCTACTGATACTAGAACATCAATAGATACTGCTGTACAAGTCTCTTATTCTACTACCAAACTTCATCATCTACTAGTTACTACTGCTAATAATAAACTACTGAAATTTGATGCTAGAAATGGCCGATTGTTAACAGAGGTAAGTAATCATTTACTTATATACATGGGTAAGAATAACTACTGTTTCACAAAATACAGGAGTAGAAATCAAGTTTATTTAACCAGATGATGAAAGTTGTTTAAACGTAGTATATAAGAAAACTGTATTTTGAAGCATCTTATATGGGTAGGGAACACAAGTTTATGGATCAGTCACCTGATGATGTAAAGTGTTTCGATTGTTTACCTTAAATTTGTGTGCATGTCAGAAGTTAAGTCCTTGTGGAATAACAAGGTTGAACTCTGGGTTTATGAGAGTGAAAGATGTTTAAATGTTGTGAAGGCTACAAAAAACTGTATTTTGAAGCATTATATAGGGGATAGAAACCCAATTTATGGATCACAAGCATGATGATTTCACTGTAAATTGTTGCATCCTTTTGTTGTATACCATGAATTTGAATGTCCCTAAGTAAAAAGTCACAACCATTATCTATGCTTCTAAATCCCCAACTATATCATATATTTTATATTGAAACTTTTTTTGCGTCCTTTACCCCAGATACTCCAGTGGCCATACTCCAGTTTACTCATATTAACTATATCAAAATTGAGTGAAGTATTTACTGGTACATTGTAAACTAATATTGTGTTTATAGATGGATCATATACATCGTAGTGGTTGTACATCTATATCAGTTTATGATACTGGTAAATATCTAGCTACAGCTGGTGATAAAGTTATTAAAATATGGGATTATGAGATGAAGTTAGACATAAACTTTCAGGTTTGTATGGAAATATTTTAATTCTTGTATATAAATAGTGTGGTGTAAATTCTGGTATGGCAGTCTTCTTTTCCTCTTGGTAATAAAACCTACGGACTTTGTCTCATTGACTTACTATGAAGAAAATGAAGGTACCAAGATTTGATATTTTACAAAGAAATTAAGACAATGTTGTTGAATATCCAAGCTATCAAAATTTACATTTTGTAAGTTTGATGTCTGAAACCATAGTAAGTGGCCATTTTGAATTGAATGTAACATTGTGTATTTATTGTAGGTATTTATTGGTCATTGTGAAAAGATAAATCGTATATTATTTACACCAGATGGTATTGGATTTATTAGTGTTGGAGAAGCCATTTATATCTGGGATTTCTTAGCTTTTCATAAACCACCACCATCAGAGTAAGTAATCTTAAACTATTTGATATATCTCATATTTCTCTTAATTATTCATTCCTTATGCTTAAAATCAGCCAGTTGCACAAAGGTTCTCCTTCTTTTAAAGCCTCTAACTATTTCAGTAATAGTGTGTTGTTATATTGTTAAAATTTGTTTCTTTAACAGGGGAAGAGATGTTGTTTTAGATAAAGAACAAGAAGGTCAGTCATAGTAATAAAATTTGCATACGAAAATCTTGTTGTAGAGTCAAGTCTTCAACTACAATATCAAAAATCGGCTCGTGCTCTTTTTTCTGTCACTCACTCAAATTAATTGTGCATCGTACAGAATATATTTATAATGTAATTTGTAGTAGCATATGTTTGCTTGGAAAATATGTGTATTTAGGAAAGATTTGTAATACTTATGTTATTTGTTGAATATGAAAAATTATAAATATCATTTGATTTAACAGAGTTAATAAAAGAAATGGAGAGATTAAATAATTCTATGGGGAAATCATTTACTGAAGTCCCACGTCGATCACCACCCAGACCAACTATAAGATTTGATTCACCAGGCCGTATAGATGATCTCAGTTCCATTTATAAATCTTCTGTTGGAGGTAAGTCTTTCTTTATATTTAACTTGTCAAGTCAACTATAGTTAACTTCAAACATACATGACTCATTAGATGTTTAAAAACCATCACATTTCTAATTGGAAAAGCTTAAAAATATATATATAAAAATTTGAAATGCCAGTAAATGTTAGCTTACTTTTATTACATTCACATCATCAAAAAATATATCAAGATATTTGTAATTTGAAATAGATATGCTTAAAAATTTACACTTATTCCAGATATTGATGATATTCAGTCAGTGACATCTGAAAAAGAAGAAGTTATTTTAGGACCAGAATTAGAAGAGGTCAATCAACAGATGTCATCAGATGAGGACAGACAGATTGCTGTAGGTTTCTTTATTATAGGGTTATAACACACAAGAATTATTCTTTAAGCACAAAATATATCAATATCGGACACATTATTACCTGATATGTCATTACAAATGATGTCGTATTATGTTGATGTCATACGCTTTAAGTTACTTAGAGGTCAGGGTATATAGAGACTGAAAGGGATGCAGAGATGACATTTGGTGTCATAGTAAAAGTTTTTTTCAATGTAGTTGAGTTTAAAAATTAATACAGTGTAAAGGAAGAGCTTCAAGCCAATGACGTGGGACAATCTTTTCCTCCAGCAGTCATCAGTTCATGAAAAATAAATCCAAATAATAAGTAATAATAGAAAGTTGTATTGTTATAGATGATTTGGAGGTATGTGCTATATTTTGTAGGTAATAAGAAGTGGAAACCAAGTGTATACAAACCAACAGACATCTCTACATTCTCCTCGTCATGTAACAGCTGATAGTGGTAATCATATCATTATAACATCAACAACTGTACCAAAACCTAATATACAACCTAAACCTAGCACCAATAAACAATCCAAACCTACTGTTTATAAACATTATAAACATAGACCAACATCACATGGTATAGCACAGGTATAATTATCAACTTTAATGTTCTTCATACTTAAATATTTACATACGCTATAATTTTTCCATTGAACTAATGCAAATTCGTTTTGATTGTATCTCACAAAACATGCATTTGCAAGCCTCACCACCAAACATTTACTGATTGTTTTACTATTATTTCGGGATTTTTCATAAAAAATGGTTATGATATGTACTTTTGATTTCACTGTCTGCTTTAAACATGTTAAACACAACTGTAGTTTGTCTTGTGAAAAATATGGCGTATGACTCAATCTAAGATTTATGGAATTACAAGTAAATATGAAGGCTGTGCATCTTGAAATGAATTGATAAACATGTTTCTACTTTTCTAGAGACGTTATACTGCCCCACCAAATCAAGCTGGTTTAAGATTATCCAGTGTAATAGGTTATAATGGAAACGGTAGAAATAATATGATCTGGCAACAAGATACAGGTAACTTGTCATGTTTATAGTGGATAATAGGAAGCAAAGCTAATATGGGATTCTTACTCCTTTCTGATTTCCTAATGACAAGAGATGTTATTTTTTTCAATAAATGCTCAAATGGTCTTGGTATAATGTCTTGTCATTATTTTCGTACTCAGTAATCTTTTACTGAATTAGATTCTTGTAAACATGAATTTTCACCTTGGGAGTCCTGATGGCTTTGAATCCCATAAGAAAGTTTTCTTTTCAATTCTTTTCTGTGAATGTTTTTGTAGGTTTGTTTGCCTATACTTGTGGTAGTATATTAATAATAGAAGATTTAAATACCAGTGAACAGAGACATTTACAAGGTAGGTACAGTATTATTGTTAAAATAATGAAGTGGAAAGTAGAAAATACAAATGATAGATGACAAGAAACAGAATAATGTTATACTTGTTGACATCAGACAAACCACCTGCAGATTATTTGAGAAAAATATAATATTAACAAGTATTTTATGATATTTTAGGGCATACAGAAGAAATTTCCACTATAGCATTACAAAATGATTACCAGGTAAGCTACTGTCTTATTATTTCCTCCAACTTTCTGATTTAATGTTGGACAGAATTATTGGACAAGCAGTCCAGCTAGTAGAGGGTATGGAAGTGTTTCTCTCAGTCAGATTTGTATCTGGGACACTAAAGATCATCATGTATAATTTTAGGTCATTGCCTCAGCTAGTGGAGGATATGAGGGTGTTTCACCCAGTCAGATTTGTATCTGGGATATTAAAGATGGTATTTGTAAGAAGACGTTGTCCCATCATGAATATGATATTGTGTGTATGACCTATTCTAGAGATGACAGGTTTCTTGTTTCTGTTGGTAAGAAATCTATTATTTTATTCCTAATCTCTGTGCAGGAAATATTAAGATTTATGCGTATGATTGTTGCACTTTTACAGTTTGTAATAAATCCACAAAGATCATATGCATAGAAGACGAGTTGGAGAGGGCAAGGAGGTGGTGGTGATGTGTTTTGGGCAAATCACTTGTATTTTTAATAGTTTTCACAAAAGGATAGGTTATTGTTTCTTGTAGATATTCTCAACCTCTTAGTTTAGGATGCATCTATGTGTTTATTTAGGGAAAACTGCTTACTGCTTGCAATAGGATTAATTTTGTATTCTATTATATTACTGTAGGTGATTACCGGGAATGTAATGTTGTATTATGGAGTACTAATGACTATTCAGTACTAGCCACTACAACAACTGACTACCCTATACACGATATTCAATGGGACCCCTCTACAGTCAATGAGTTTTCTACAGTTGGTGAGAATGCTACAGTATTATTTTGGTTATTGGATGAAACTGTATCTGAAGTTGCTTTAAATGTTCATGTTGCTGATGTTCCTGGTGAACTTGTTTCTGTGGTAAGTGTTTATAAAAATCCTAAGAATACTTAACAAATAGAACTACTATGGTTTGTGCATTTGAAATAGATATAAATTGGCATTAATATACAATTACAAATTTTTACAAATGTTGGCTTCAGACCACAAAACATGAGATCAAGCATCATGTAACTTTTCAAGATACACAAAATTTCTGATGGACTTTGGAGCATTATTCAAGTTCTTGTTATATTACAAACTATTAATTTTCTAGGGAGGAAAGGCAGTATCATTTACAGCATTAGAGTTTGGTAATGATAGTACGCTATATATTGGTACTAGTCATGGTAAAATAACAGCCTGGGATACCAGACAGAACTCTTGTTTTATGTTATGGGATGGAGATGATGCTGAGATTGGTAAGAAATATGAATAATATGATTTGATAAAGTTTTATAAGAAACAGGCCTGCAAAACGCAGAGCTCATGTAATGTTGGACATTCTTAAGGCCACATAATCACATGATATGTACCCAATGGGCTTGTGAATGGGCCTTTTCCAAGTATCATTATATGACGTTATATTTCAGGGTATATGAGGGTAGAGAGTTTTATCTTATTCACACTCTATTGAATTGAATATGGCTAAATATATTGTTTCAGATTTACTGCTATGTAATGGTAATAAGTTATTAACTGGTAGTTGTAATAATAATGTTAAACTATGGTCTCTAGATAATATCAATGATATTAAACAGTCTAATAGACCACCAGCTTTACAACATGGTTTAACTCTTGAAGATGAAATGACATTAAATGGTATTATAACTTGTGCTGTATTTGATCCTAATATGGAGATGGTGAGTCAGGGGATTTTTAGTCCATTCAAATTACCGAAATTAATAGAATTATTGAAAGTAACACAAATCTTGTATGGAATAATATCAAATAGTTACATTTTTGCTTTACCAGCTGATAGAAGGCTTCCTCAGCCATCTTTTGCACTGTAAAAAATAAAAATCAGATTATTTAGAAAACTATATCCATTTATACTGTTATTCACATATAGATATATATTCAAAATGTATCACATATTATTACATATTATACATCTATTTTCAGGGAATAGTTGGAACTGGTGCCGGTACTCTATGGTATATTAACTGGTCTGAGAGAACCAGTCTGAGACTAGTATCAGGACATATGAATAAGGTAACGGTATTCTCTTGGCACTACTTCAAATTACAGATCGATTCGTTTTCTGCAAATGTTTATAGAATTCTTTTACTTATAAAATAGCTCCCATTTAACTGATCAAGTACTATGTTAAATTTTTAGATCAGTATTTTTAGTACAAATCACTCTCTAAATGAATGCTATATAAACAGGATGAATGATGTTGTTAAAGAAATCCAACTACAAACTACTACGACTACCAGCATCCGCTGGAAGCGAACATTAAATTGTCATCTACCTACCTACCTGTTGTTCAAGATAAAAGTTTGTAGAAACTAATGATATTATTATACCTATAGATAAATGGTATGAGTATATGTAACAATGGTTTATTAGCTACTGGTGGAGATGATGGTAGTGTTAGAGTATTAACTATTAAAGATAGGGAACAAGCTTTACAGTTTCAAGTGTTAGATCAGGTAGCTAATTAATCATGGTCATTACATAGAATCTAGAGTGTTGGTAAAACTGTCTTTTTCTATCAATGTCAGAGATAAGATTAGAAATCTGCATGTAATTTGAACATAAAAAACAAATTATACGATAGCGCTGAGCTAGTTAATGTCAACTCTTTCTTAAATTAGGCCTAGAGCTCATAACTGCCAAAGGTTATCATGTGTTTTTTTTTAACTTTTTAAGTCCAATTTTCAGGTCCATTATTTTGCATTGACATCCTGTAAATACATTGCAAAAATCATATTCACTGTATATTTCAGAAATGTACCTGTCTAAGTTTTGCCCCACCCTCACAGCAATCCAATCAGTCTATACCTAATATAGCAGCTGGGTTTAGTGATGGTACAGTTAGGATGTTTGATGTTAATAAGGTAGAAATGGTGTTAAAGATGCAACCCCATGGTGTTTCTGTTACAGCTATATCTTTCTCATCAGACGGTAAGATATCAATTACATGTTTAGCCTTGAAAACAGGCCATCAGCGATGGATTGATAGGTTTTATAAACCTGCTTCAATTTACTACAAATTTTACTTCTATAAGGACGTATGTATAATATTCACTGTTTGGTCTAATCAAAACCAATTCGTCATAATCTAATAGCTGTTGTTTTGAAGTTTTATTTTAGTTGAAACTTTTGAATGATGAGAGTCATATTTCTTTACATGGCAAAGCAAGGCATGCACTTATAAAATTTTCCATGCTCCATGCCTCAAACGAATTTGGAAAAAATCACACTTTCCCTTTAACAAAGCGTGCGATATCATGTTATTTTTCAGGGCGTATGATAATATCTGGTAGTCAAGATGGTATATTATGTGTTAGTAGTATAACTACAGGTTTAACTGTTAGATTAATCAATGATCATAAAGGTTCACCAATATCTCAAATAGATATTACTGTTAAAAAGGCAAGACCACATATACTATAATGTCCTAATTAGACACTGTCGTTGACTAGTTAATGGTTCCTTAATTGTCAGTGATGTAGATGGGAAGAGCATTAATTTAATAGACTTGAAACCCATAGCCCTTTTTCACAATTGTGCAATTTGAAGATTTTTCAAGAGTTGGAAATTGTAAATGTTGGTTAAATTGAGCAATACATAGTACCAGTAGGCTGGTTCAAAAAAACCTTGCGATCTATTTTGTTATATGTATGGTAAATGTAAAATTCAACACTTATGACAAATTATTAGCATAAGATTGTTTGTGAAACGTGGCCAAGGGCCCAGTTCTCAGGAGTCCAATAACATGCAGAAGAGTAGGGTATATTTGATGGTTAATTTTTGTTTCTTGTACCTAGGAGGAAGACACTAGTGTCAATGCACCGTTGCTATGGTTAGCCAGTAGTAATGATAGAAGAGTCAGTGTCTGGTCAGCTGATTGGTCCAGAGATTTCTGTGAGCTTGTTGATTGGTTGACATTCCCAGCTCCAGCTTTTACTCCTGATGGGTCAATAATTGATAAGAATAACAAGGTTAGCAATTGCCACCAAGTTTCCTTCTCAACTTTTCCTTTTGCTTTTTCTTGCTTATTATGTATAATGAACTTGCAACAAAATATGTTACATCGTATTCCCTGTTCTTTCCATTGAATTTTCTTTTTTAACAAATTTGAAATCTTCAATAAAACTGACAAAAAAATGTTTGATTGTATTAATAGCATTTTATTTTTAACCTTGTAAATGTATCTCTAACTGATCTAGTTTTGAAAAAGAAAGGGTAGTGTGCCGATTTAACTGTTCCATTAGTTGGTCAATCACTGTGATTGGTTTATCTTCACATTAAATTAATAAAGTTTTTGAGTAACTAATTCTTGTAAGTAACTGAATGAAAATTAATTTTCAGGGTGACAGCAAGTCTTTTCCACCAACTTTAGCCTGTTTTTCTAAAGAAGAATCAGATATTATACTATATGTGGGCTATGGTATGCAGAAAAATGTCCAATTTTACAGTCTGTCTCAAAGAAAGGTATGGTAACAGAAATTTCCATTTGAATCAGTTAATCATGGAATTATGAAATGTTCTATTGTCAATGGTAGTTTTGTATCCATGTAGTGTATTATAATAGCAATGATTACAATGAAGTGTTATAAACTATTTTAACACTCTTCATACCAAAATATCATAATATGTATAACTGGACACAATAATATTGATAACAATTACTTTAATAAAATAACTGATAAATGATACCTGATCATCATTGCTTGATAAAGACGAAATCATCATTGTCGAAACGTCGCAAGTTATTTATTAAAGTAATTGTTATCCATCTAATTGTGTCCTGTTACTAAATGCCACTCAAGGTAGTTATCATAATATGTGCATGAGTTCAAAGCTCTCAGTACTATGGTATTAACATGATTCAAATGATGTATTCAACGTCCAAAAGTGCATAGAATATAAAAATTATTAATTTTGACTGTGTTTATATATTTATAGGTTGTAAGAACAGCAGCTCTAACACACTGGGCTACAAGTTTAGATGTGTCACCAGATTCTAGTCTGATAGCTATCGGTATTAATGGTAAGTTTAAATTAAACTTTGATATGGAAATATGTTAATGCTCTAGAACATAGCTATTTTCTTCAGATCAGTTTTTTCCAATGAATATGCAAATTATCTACAAATCAGAAAGCTTTTCGACAAATTAACACTTAAAAATGAAGTAAATGAAACTTTAAGATGCCCCTTATTCAACAAATATGATAAACGATATGTACCAACACACAAGGATAACGATTCTGCTTTTCAAACATCTTTTATATCAGATAGTCTTGCTGAAAAATTGATAAAAAAGTACTTATCTAAGTAGTGTTATGTTTTTTTATTTCAGAACGTTTATTAAAGTTATTGGACTATTTTGAAGGTAGTTTTCAAGATTTTACAGGACATAGTGATAGTGTTAGTCATGTAAATTTTCACCTGATGGTAAATTATTGTTTACTACTAGTTATTCTGATATAATGGTATGGGAACTGGCTTTATAATATTGGATAAGACCTGACATGACCTGCATACAGCCTAACAGCTTATGCTTATTTCATCAGTGTTCATTAATTTTGGCTGCTGGTTATTCTGATATATTGATGTGGGAAGTGGCTTTATAATAGTCATCAAGTTACTACAGACAATGAATGAGCGTGCTTCAAGGAGGTTGAATTCCTGTTAAATAAAACAAATCAACAGACCTGGGAAAGTGGTTTTAAATATTGATAAAGAGCATGATTGTTCAGTAATTCAGCTGATCTGTTTGGTCTTATATCATTCCCAACATTAAAGTATGTTCCAGATTCCTGGCCACGAAACAATCTTAGCACTAGGATATCCTAGAAACAGTGTTAGAAGTTAAAACCTGTGGACATCCTAGCGCTAAGATCGTTTTGAGAATATTGCGAGCTGGCAAATATTAATAATTAAGCCCTGAAGGTGACTCATTCCATATGACAAAGTCTGATCTAAAGCTGAGAACTGGAATACATTTCACCAGTAATATTGTCTCATCTAAGATATCATAATATCACCTTGAAACTCTTGCAAAATAGCATTAATGCTGCCAAATTACAAGATCTGGAATGTAACTTATAACATTGTTAAGATAAGACATTCCAAATAACATTAATATTATATACTAGTGTGTGCTTGTGTCCATTTCATATAACTCATTGCTGTGCTTGCTATGTGCTTGTATTTATTTTATGATTTTAATATGTGATCCTCCAGCACAAAAGTGAAAATGTTCAGTTTTTCAAACAAGGTATGTGTATATATCTTGGCATTTAGTTAAGAATTGTGTTATGTATAAGTTATGATTATGGTGCTCATAGGAAAGATTTTCGGGAGCCCAACAGGAGACCCAAGTGGCCTGACTTGTGATAGAGGACTTTATATATATGTTTTAACTGCATTTATATTTTTATTTCAATTCTCAATAAAATTATTCATTCACTGTCTCTACGATTTCATTAACAGCATTATTTTTATTCATATATATGTCAATCAAAATTGAACTGATTTCATTTCATCTTTCCGTCCCAGCAAACTTGTTAAGAATCAAATATTTAGATATTTTTATTATGATTGTAAATAAAATAGTTAAATGTAAATATTATTATTTATATATAAAATGATAAAGAAATAAAGCTTTGAATCTCTGATTGGTATTTTGATATCCTCAAGTGAACACAAAACCATAAAAGGTAAATAAATTTGCTGCATAATTCCAAATATTCAAATGTTGAAGGAAACTTCTATGCAATTTCCTTGGTTTTAGAATCTTTTGTACAGAAGCCAGGCTATACTCAAACTGTGGAATTACATTCAATATTTCAATATCATTTACCATTCACTTTAAAGATTGGAATAGAGCTTATTCCAAAACTCTTTTTCAAACCCAAGAGTTGATAATTTTCACTACATCAATAACAATCTACGAAATTGTCTTCATCCTGTTCACCAGCAGTAGCTAAAATATCTTCTAATAGTGATACAGGATTTTTACTGTATTCATCACTGTTATAGTCTATACAGGTCTCGATATTTAAACACTGCAGTTTATCTATCCATTTCATCAGATCTTGACTGCATTCATTCTTACCATTCTTTTTATTCATCCAAATCTTTAGAAATCTGTCTATCATATCACAGGCCTTTTCCTTTACAGATTGTTCATAATCATTATAGCCTAAGAGTATTGATTTACAAAATTCTTTGGAAACTAAAAGGCTGATACTAAGATGTTCCTTCTTCTGCAAAGATTCAGGAAATCCACTAGCATATGAAGGAATATTATTTTCAACACAATTGTTACTGACTTCTTCTAATGGTTTTAAGATATTCCTCTCCCAAAATTTAAGCACAAGAATTTTGACTTCCCAATCAAAGTCTTCCATAGCATGCTGCATAGCAGAGCATATGTCAACTTGACAATCAGGACTATTACAAATTTGATAAATATTGTCCAGTGTTTTTACAGCTGCTCTTCTTGGAAATGCTTCACTATCTTCTTTCAGTATTGAAGTTAGTTCAAAAATGAGATTTTCCTGGAAGAGAAGTACAGACAATATCATTAAGCATTTTCTATACAGTCTAAATGACACCCTCTATCTCCCCACCTCCCACAAACAGGTGTTACACAGAACTTCAGAGCAATTATTGTCAAAGAGATAATATCTCCTTCCATCTATACCAAATTCTCAATATTAATAGTTGAGCAGAGATATTCATACATCTCAGACTTGAAGCACATTCAACTGAGGTAACTAAACAAGCCTTGCCTCCTCAAATCCATTGAACTACCTCTAAATAAGTGATTTGCTCTTGTTTATGTTTTGAAATGTTCCAAGATGTTAACAAATTTCTTTGCTACACTTTGGTCACATAAATCAGGAATAAAATATTGAAACAGAAACTGAAGCATGTTCTTGCTCTGTTGAAAAAATCTGTATTTTCATATTGCTCTACAATTGATATATTGAACGTTATTGTAACAGGGAAAATATATTATAACTTTAAATCAAGAATGATATTATTACTTACTATTTTGATATTGAGTGATGTAAGGAATTGGTATAATAATGATTGTTGTTTGACTATTGTTGATATGAGTGTTAAAACACTGGCTCTAACATAACTATTACTATCTGTTCTACTAGACCAACCAATACAACATAGAGGTAGTACTACTTTATATTCATCATCATCTATAAATATTAATAATAATTATGAAGATTCTTGGTTGATGCTTGGTCATTATCATCAAATATGGCAACATTAACAAATACAAAAGGGCAAAGCAGGGCCACTTTGAGTTTGGATTTGCACTACATCAGTTTTTCTCTTTAAAAAAGATATTACAATAACATTATGTTGCAAAAATCTCATTTTGCACCCTAGTAAGATGAACATCATGGATTTCCTGCATAGAGCTATTCAGTTGTATTAAAAAAAAAAAGAAAAAAATTTAACTGAGTACAGCACCTTTTACTATAGAGACAAGTTGGTTAATAATTTCTAATGCTGTGTCTCTAATTTCCCAACCTGTGTCACACAGTTTCATTTCCAATATTCTAATAAACTGTGCAAGATCTAATTCTTTCCAATTCAGTTTAGATAAAATAATTAACATACAGCTTGTACCAGACTTCAATGTCTAAAATAGAACAAAATAAAACATAAGGATATAAGCTACTGAAATAATATGTGGAACATTCTTATAATTATAAGTGAATATAGTAGGTGGTTATGAGCAAGTTTTTTAATGAAAAATTGTTTGTACAAATGGACATTTTACTAATTTAATAGCTGAAAAAGTCACTCTATTTTGAATCTAAAATTTGCATATAAAGCAGCGAAAATCAACAACAAAAAAGGGAAAATTCCCTTTTTTACAAGGGTAACAACTTTGGTTTTCAAGGTAACTTTATACCAACTGGTCCATGTTTAACCTCTTGGAAATGATCTAAAGCAGACTACCCATACCCATTTAGGCATTTACTGGTTCATCAATAACAATCCTACTTACTGTGATATCAGTTGAAATGGCTGAAATAGCATCCAATAGTAAACAATAGATCTCATAAAACTTTTCGTCTTTCAAATCTTTACATGTATCTACAACAAAAATAACTATGAAAATAGCTGATGTATGTTACCAAAATAACACTCATCTCCCCTACTTACTATGTAGACTTTGTGAAGGGGATATTGAGATGTGAATCCAATTGCAGATTGCTACAGGTGCTACAGTCAAAGATATGATGTTGATGCATATTTATGACATCAACCAAGTTTCACCAGAAAACACAAAAGTTTCCCACAGGAATATAATCTCTGCCTTTTCTTTATATTTCCATGATTTTAAAAGTGTAGTCTCTATTACCATTTAATCTTCCAGTATCTTTGTACCATAAGGAGGTTTCATGGTTTTGGTAATGTAGTGTCTTACCTAGTTTTAGTTTATAGTGTAAATAATGTAAGATTTTGGATAATAACGATTTATTGGATAGTAAATAATGTTTATATTGGTGATCATCTTTATCTTGTATAATCTTTATACACTTTATCATCAGTTCTATCTGCTCATTCTATAATAAATTGATAAAAGAATAACTACAATTTGGAAAGCAAAATCTTGTTATATATCAATAACCAAATGTCTTTGACACTGACAGCAGCATCTGATTTACTATTTGTAGACATACAGCTGTATATACTAAAGAAAAAAGAGCAACATCAGATATGCATGAGACAAACTTTGTCAGAACAAAACTGATCAAGAGAGTTTGCCCATATTTCAAAGGGTTAAAAAGGAAAAAAACAAATAATTTCAGAATTTTGCACACTGACTGTGGGTATTCCCCTATATTAAATATAAATGACTTACTATGTTAACTGTATTACTATCACATGATAAATACTGTACAATAACTGATGATAATACTGTTTTAGATATCACTGACTTGGTATTTAGATAATCATTATTTTGATTAAACATTATATCACTTGGTATAGAAGCTACATGTTCTAGTCTTGGACATATTCTGTATTTAAATAAAGAAAAACTTGGAATTATATAGCATAAACAATAGAGATTGTTTGAAATTTTAGATTAAGATGAAGCAAATTACCTAGAGATGTATTTTAATCTAACTAGGGTCAGAAAGAGTGTGCATTATTAACTTTGACAGTTTTTTTCATATATTCCAGAGAGTAAGAAAGGATGCGCATTATATTCACAATTATACAGTATAAAAAAACTCACTGAATTAAATAACAGGCAGCATGGTGAGATTTCACCACATCAACTCTCACCAATAGTTTGATATCATTTTCAACTTTATTGATAAACTCTTCTCTGTCTTTACCATCTCTGAAATAGAATAACACATCTTGATGAAATCAGCTGTCCTGATGAGGACTTTGTATTCAAGCTCTGGTACTATGAAATTTTCTCTTTGTTGACTTATTTGCTCCTTTTGCTTACACTTTAAGTCTTATATTCACAGCATAATATGAGCACTTGTCAATTAAACTTTCCACAGCTTGTAAAAGACTTACTACTTACATCACTTTGAAAAACTTGACTATAACATCTGATAATATCTGTATATATAACGTTGGTAAAGTTTGATATAGTTTTAAACAGGAATATATAACTTGTGAGAAGTAATCAGTATCAATTTTCAGTCTCCAGTTGTCAGAGTCACCAAGTTTATAAAACAATGATAGCATACAGGATATATAGTCCATATTTTTAGATTTTGAGGTATTTTGTGATAATGCATCTAAATCTGTTAACAAGGATTTTGATAGTTTAACTACTATCTCTGTTTGGTCTGGTATGTTTAGTAGTGTAAAAACTAAAGTACTAGCAGCATTCTTTACAAACATACTTCCACCATTTTTCATACGGTCTAATACTATGTTTGGATAGTCTGAAAAAGTAAAAATCAAGGAACAAAAATATGAAAGCCTTTAAGCGAAGTTAGAACAATGTATGCACTTAAAAAGATCCGATGGACTGATAGTGAGCTAATTTAAATTCTTACTCAATTTTTTAAATCTGAGATCAAATATAATGCCCTATATAACTTAATTTTTTTAAATCACTTAAATACCTTCATTTTGAATAATGTACTGCAAGCCATGTTTATTCTGTACCATACTAGTCAAACATGTAAAACAGGCAGTGGCTATAGAGGAATCTTTTATCATGGGTTTAATCTGATCTAACAAATTGATTATAACATTTAAATATTCCTCAATAATGTCTTCCTTCTCACACAGTTTACCACATAATGACAGAGAAAATGTTAAAACACTGGGTTCTATTTTACTGAGATTTATTGATATCTTTTCCAAGAACCATTTCAATCCAGATGATTCAAAATTTTCCACTGCAACTGAAAATTAATGAGAAAACATGATTAACAAAATAAAAATAAGAAGATTTGTTGGTATAATTTTCTTCATGTTGTACATCTCCATGATTTTTAAGAAATCTGAAACTGAAAACTACCACTGTCTAATTTACGAGCTATATGGTTTTCATTGTTCCACCTATCATTTGTATCTAGAAAAAAATAACCTTCTTATCATTGTGCACCACTGTGTAATAATAATTAGGACCCCAGCATTATAAGTGCCCACAAAACTCAATTCTAACTCTAAGCATTGCCATCACTAAGCAGCAATAACCAAGTTCTTTATAGTTTATAGTCTTGACAATATGTGGACTATGTTGATTGTGGAGTATAGTACAGGGTTTTCATACTTTACCATATAAATGAATCAAATCTAGTAATCTGTTCAATAACGTATCATCTGGTAAATGGTGATCTATTTCCAAAAGGTACTTCAACACATCTTTCAATTTACTTGTACCAATAAAACTATCCATCTTCTAAAAGTTGTTATTTCTTCTCTTCAGTACGTATCTGTGATTGTAAAGGTAAAGTAACAAATGGCATTAAATAACAGATCTCTCCTTTTGATCAATTGATCATTGTCAGTTTAATATCTTAATTTCAATGAAATACCAATTAACCTCTCAAACGTTAGCTATTATTTAGCTATGCTCTAAACTGTATTGTAATGCATCAATTTAATTTTTCAGACTTCTTTGTGTAAATGATCAAAATTGATTTGCTGTACTTTCGTTTTATTGAAGAAAAGATAACTCTTTGAAGCTCTTCAAACGAAGAGAAACGATTAGTACTGTCACGTGATTCTGGCCATTTTGTCTGCTTCGGCAGTTGTAAGAGTTTGTTTAGAAACACCGAAGAAGAATGGCAACCAGTGTGTACAGAGGGCTGTCAAGAACTGTCAAAGTATGGATTCCTTCTTCTTTTTCCTTGACCATTTCTTTTAAGGCACGATCTGACTTTGTAGTTGTTTATATTGCGCTGAATTGGAGGCAATGTCCTTGAAAATACCCGACCTTCATTACAATGTTTTCAGTTCAATACTGTGAATTAAATACAATACTGACATTATTACTTCAGTTCGCTATTTTATTATACACCTACTGAATTGTAAAATTTAATTCTTTATTCATTGATACAATCTTGTTATTAGGGCTGCAAAACAGTAATTTTGCTGCTATTTAGGACTAAACACAATAAAATCCTTCTTCCTTTGCAAGTCTACTACAGTTAAGTCTTTTACAGTAACGTACACACAATTACAATCAATCTATGTGGAGGCTTATAAGCCCTTAAAAAAGCATTGTTTAAAGCCTTTTACAGATATAATGCATATGCGTTATTTGAGATGACTTTGGCTTTATTCCTCAGCAACTAGCATTATAAGTAAAGATATATAAATAAGTTTGTAAAAAGTAAATTTCTACCTTAATAAGTTTTATTAGAAATACATACATAAAGCTGTAAGCTGCCTACCATCCCTAAACTGAAGGCCATTTTTCGTCATCACATATAATATTTGACTTAACCTGGCTAAAAGCCACAGTGTTAGCTCAGGTATTAATCTGCAGATTATAACCATATGAGCCTTTAGTATAGGCCTGACATCTGCAAGCTCATGTCTTCTTCTAACTTTCTTTAACATATTCTGTAATTGCTTTTCTAAAGAGTCATGAGTCAACCTTTTGTCAGTTTGATGCAGATTCCAGTAGTTTTCTCTTGTTTGTAGGGAAGATGGTACTCAACTCAAGCTGCATTTTCAGAAGCAAGACAGCAACCAGCTAAGGTATGGATGAAATCAGTGTAAAACATTTTTTTGCACATTCAATCAATTTGATTATTTAGTGTAATAGCTAGATGAAAATAGTATTCTCAACAAAGCACTGGCCTAGGTCATGATGTAGGAAACAAATTCAAAGGATGAGAGTTTAGTAAAAGAGTGTAATTTCAAATTCTTTTAATAGAAACTAGTTTTGTGATGTTATCAATTTGAAAATTATTTGTTATCATTTCCAAATTTGAATTTGAGTTTGTTACGGATATAATCTGATTTCGAATGTCTTGCTGGTATTTGACTATTCAGGTAAAATTGTACAATGATATTTATTTGATAAAAATCTACTTATACTAGTTTGAATTGTATATTTATTTTATTTTAGGTTACCAAATTGAGTAATGGTCTATTAGTAGCATCTGTAGAGAATAATGCTTCTGTATCAAGAGTAACTGTGGCTGCAAAAGCTGGAGCCAGATATGAAGATGGGAATCAGTTAGGGCTTACTCATTTTCTACGCCATTTACCTGTCAAGGTATGAAACTGTTACATGTATCCCTGGCATACAAAACTATGTATGGTTATTACATGGAAATAACACACACACGAACATAGTTCATTGCCATTTTGTATCTCAACCTCGACTTAATAAGTAAAATTTTAAAGAAAGGCTGCAATATTCCTTGCGAAGCTTTCTCATCAAATTTAAAAGCTTAGAAAAGGCTTTAAATGTGATTTGAATGATTTCCAGAAATATTAGGTAGAGATTCAAAATGACAGTGAACTATGTATGTGTGTGTTATATATGATTAGCACTGGTATCTGGCAATAAAAACTTTGAATTTAGGCTGTAGATTTGTCTGTAGTTGCTTGTCATATCTGACTAACTAAAATTATGATCATTTTCTTTGCAAATGTGCTAGATTTTTCATATATTATTGATGAAAATTTGTATAGTATGTAGTATGTCAATTCACATGTTAAAATGACTGTTTAGGAATTTCTCCTATCAATGGCCCGGATTGGAATCCTTATAACATGCAACTATATTTTTATGGTTAAAATTGTCTGCCTATGAAATTAATAGACAAAATGTTACAATGCTTCTCAACATGATTTACTCCTTTTCAGCATAACTACAAATTTCAAGAGGTTATATTCTTAAAAGGTCTTCAACAGTTAGGATCATCCTTTTAGTAAGTTAAACTTCTTTTTTTATTGTTTATTAAGAATTTTCTTCTTGTGAGCTACTTACAAGTATAATCACTTGATGCTACAATTTTAAAAGTACAACAGTAATCGATCTCTGTACAGCATCAGATCAGCTCTGTAGAAATGGATATTCAGATTTGTGAAGTTGGCTTTGGTATGAACAATATCACAGTCTTTAAATGCGATTGAATTTTAGGGTTAATGTCAAATATGTGAAAATTGCTTTATTTCTATTGTTAAACATTTGTTGTTAAGCATTTAAAGTAGAAATATAGAACAATAAAGAAATTTATTATACCTTTTGTTAGAAGGTCCTTTATATTCCTAATAATTTTATAATTTATTTATAGCTGTAGCAACAGTAGAGAGTATATGTATTATACAGTAGAGAGTCTACGAACTGAATTGTAAGTATTTTTTCCCTTTTTATTTAGAAAAATTCTATATCCATTTAGCCTGAACTTTGAAGTATATGACATCTGTGGGGGGTATATATCACAAAATTATTTGGCTGGTAGAGCTGAACCTAGTGTTGAAAGGGTTAAACTGAATAGTTGGAGAAAAAAAGAGTATCTTTTACAGACTTTTTCTTTTTTGTAGCTGATGCCTTAGTTACAGTTCGTTTCAGTTACGCAGGTCAGAGGGCCTGACATGGATAAACAGGCTATGCTGAACGTAAAAAATATCCCTGGATAGATGGCTAATGCCACTGTCCTGGTAGATTACATGGCTATTGCCACTGTCCTGGCAGATTACGTGACTATTGCCACTGTCCTGGCAGATTACGTGACTAATGCCTCTGTCCTGGCAGATTACATGACTAATGCCACTGTCCTGGCAGATTACATGACTAATGCCACTGTCCTGGCAGATTACGTGACTAATGCCACTGTCCTGGCAGATTACGTGACTAATGCCTCTGTCCTGGCAGATTATGTGACTAATGCCTCTGTCCTGGCAGATTACATGACTAATGCCACTGTCCTGGCAGATTACGTGACTAATGCCACTATCCTGGAGGATTACATGACTAATGCCACTATCCTGGCAGATTACGTGACTGATGCCACTGTCCTGGCAGATTACGTGACTGATGCCACTGTCTTGGCAGATTACGTGACTAATGCCACTGTCCTGGCAGATTACGTGACTATTGCCACTGTCCTGGCAGATTACGTGACTAATGCCACTATCCTGGAGGATTACATGACTAATGCCACTGTCCTGGCAGATTACGTGACTAATGCCACTGTCCTGGCAGATTACGTGACTGATGCCACTGTCCTGGAAGATTACGTGACTGATGCCACTGTCTTGGAAGATTACGTGACTGATGCCACTGTCCTGGAAGATTAGGTGACTAATGCCACTATCTTGGCAGATTAGGTGACTAATGCCACTGTCCTGGCAGATTATGTGACTAATGCCACTGTCTTGGCAGATTACGTGACTAATGCCACTGTCTTGGCAGATTACGTGACTAATGCCACTGTCCTGGCAGATTACGTGACTGATGCCACTGTCCTAGAAGATGACACTGCGTGGTTGATAGTCTAATCTCATGAGTATTTTTTGTAGTTATGTAGTTTCTCTGTTAGATAGTATTTCTATTTACTTGATATTATATTTGTAGGGACGATGCTCTGTTATTTTTAGAAGATGTCTCTGTTAATCCTTTTATCAACTATTGGGATATTGGAGCTTTGGATTCAAATTTAAAATTTGATTTGCTTTGCCTGGAAAATGAACCAGTTGCCAGTAAGTTGAGAAGTTTATAAATCAATATTTATCATAATAGACTACTTCTTATTGGTGAAAGTTGCAATACATGACAGATTTACATAGCAGTATTTTTTATTTGAAAATTTAATAGCTTAGCTCTCTCTGCTTTCTTGGGACGAACTGTTCAACATTAATCATAACCATAGTGATATATTTAGACCTTTGTCTGACTAATTTGTATTTGAAAAGCTTCCCCGTTCACTATTTTATGTATGGCTTGCTTTAAAGAAAAAAGTTTTTTGAATGAACAATATTAAACAATTGTCAAGTTCTGTTATAATATTTCTGTATTTTTATCAGGATCACTCGATTCTCTACATTTGGCTGCCTATAGAAATACATTGGGAAGATCATTATATATGCCAGATTATATGATTGGTAATTTCAGTTCAGAACAGGTAATTTCTCTATATTATATGACCAGTGTAAAAATATTCATTGCTAATTCTTAGGTTACATTAGCTGGAGCATGTCATATTTTGAGAATAACATACTGTTTTATTAGGGACTGAAATTTCCAGGATGGGTTGAATTCAAAGATAAAACACACTTTTTGACCACTATCTTAGTTCATGCTATTAACTTATCTATCAATATTGCATATTAGAGCAAAAACTTGATAATATGAAAATAAGAAGTATTTCACTTATTTGTTGTTTGTTTGTTTGGTTGATAGATGACGTCCACTTCCAACTGATATTACAGATTAAGTCTGTTTTTTGTTTATCATGTCTTGTATTATTTGTATTGTAGATTAATGAGTATACATACAAACACTATTCACCTGATAATATGGCTGTTATTGGTATTGGAGTAGATCATGATGAATTAGTTAGTAGAGCTGAAGAATTTGATTTTAGTGGTTCTCCACCTACTTCACCTGATGGTATGGAACATATTTTCTTTAATATACCATAGTTATGAAATGTTGGGTGTCTGTAGGGCAGGGAACTGCAGTGGTATAGTGAGTTTGATGCCTGCCCGCTAACCTGTACTTCCTGGCAGGGTTCTATCAGGGCATAGGTTGAGATAATACCTTCAAATCAAATTTTTCAATCATGTCAGTGATGCAGGCTGCAGTGGCTAACATGAAAAAGTATCTAACTGATGTATAAGACAATAAAGCAATACTCTATGTGAGGCTGTGCACGTTTTCCTCCATTGCATTGCCCATTTTCATTAGCCCAGTCAGAATAGTTTGAGATGCTTAAGTTTTTATACGCTCATGTTTCAAAAGGCTGGTATCAGCCTTTACAGTGCTCACATAGATAATCTTTGATTGATTTTTCCAACCCTTGATATGATCTTTTGTCATCCTTTCTCTTGATTTTTTTTATCCAGTAAGTTTATATACCTATACATGTATATTCTTTGTTTGATATATTTGTAGCACCTATACAAACTGGTGATAGAAGTAAACCTACCCCTCCACAGAAAGCTGTATATAAAGGAGGTTTGTTATAAAAATGTTTCGTTTAGTACATACAGTCTGTGTTAAAAAAGTTAATGTATCACAAACATTCCATTGCAATGGTTGTTGTGGTGGATCTGAAAAGTCTTCACCCTGTTAACATGTCAGCCATTTTTGAGAGTCTACATAATCTAATGACATAGATGATTACAGATATTTATGCACATAAGGATGCAAATACAAACAAGAACAAAGTTTTTTTCAGGAAATTCCACTAGAATTAGCATTATATAATATTATTTATTTTTGTAGGTGAAATAAGAATACCAACTTATACTGACCAAACTGTAGCATCTGTTGCCGTTGAAGGTTCCAGGTGAGTAATTGTTTGCAAGAGTATAAAGTCCACAAATATTTTAACATCTTGAGATATAGGGCTGAATAAGAATATCTAAAATGAATTATTCTTATGCTTCCGGATTTCTCCAAACTCTTTTCCATTGTAGAAATATAGATTGAAAGTTCTGACTTTCAGATGTGGTGGTTGTAGAAAATTTTCCTTTATTGATCTCTGCATACACTGTTCATCTTCATCACTCCGAAAATCTGCTGTTAAAAGCTTATGACTTATTTTTTTCTTGATATAAATTAACAAATTTTTTTTTCTGTGATTGTGCTGCTAGTTTGTTACCTCGTGAAAGAGGGTAGGGCTCATTTTGTCATTTCATTATGATGTTTGTTGTATTGTGTATTTATTTTAACCCTTTGAACACTGAGTGTCAATGAAATTCAAAGTCATATACCTTAAACTCTAAGTAATAGACCTTATTCATGTGTCGGCCATATTAAATCCAGAACGAGGTTCAAACCTTGAAAAGTCACGTTATGTCACTGAATAATATAGCCAGCTTTACGACTTTAAAGCCTCCTTGAATCCCACTGACTTGAAACTAATCATATTTTACATCATTAAATTTGGAATTGATGAAGCTATTTAATGAAACTCTTACGTTTTCCGGGCAGTTTTAGAAAATTTTCTTGCTGTTTAGCAAGTGTTTAATGACGTCAAATTGACTGTTCATATTACGTCGCCATCTTATCAATGGATGATGTAATTTGCGCTTATACTTCGCTTTAATTGTCTCCAAAACTAGGCTGGAATAAGGTCTATATGACTTCAAGTGTATGACGTTAACATTATGTGACATCACTTGATACCGGCCGTTTCACTGGTTGATCGAGTATTATATCATGTGGTCAGTAGAACACAGCTAGTGTTAAAAGGGTTAACTTCATTAACATATCGATGCTGTGTCTAGAAAAATGTCAGTGGATGCTGGCAGCAGCGTGCTCAAAACTTAAGTTTCATTTAGCTTGTGTAGCAATTTTCTCAATTGGTTTCTTATTTGTTTTATCTTATTTGTTTTTTTCTTATTATGTGGTTATGTATAATGACTATATATTTGTACTAGATATTTGCATGTTATTGCATAATGTTTAAGCCCAATATCTTCTCACTGCAGACCGAATCGCTTTTAATTTGAAAGACCTACTACACATATAAACTTTCATGTTCTCTTTTTATCTGTAACAATTACTTTTTGATGGAATAATATGATGCTATTGGCACAAAATTCTACTGATTATAATTTAATGGAAAATTTTGTCTGATCATTGATGGCGAGCTTAGAAACCCCTTCCAGTATATGTAGTTTTCCCTGATTAATGAGAGTTTATTTATGTTTCTCGATCTTGTAGTTTATGTGACAAAGATCTGTTAGCTGTACAAGTTTTACAGAATTTAATCTCTCACCATTCATCAGTCAAATATGGTGCAGAAACTTCAAAGCTAAACACAGCTATTTCAAAAGCTACCAATAAACCATTTCACGTAAGTTGTTTATTTCTAGATTAGCGTAATGACAGGTTATTATAGCCTAAACCATAGCACAATCTTTAAGAGGGTTAGAATTTGATGTTATTTGCCTTGTTTTATGGAAAAAATATGGCTGTGGGATCTAATCTCTTATCCCTTTGCTAGCGAAAATCATTTCCCCATATTCCAGTCGATCCAGATGTAAATGGGTTTAGTTAATCCTGGCAAGTTTAATGACCAGGTCGTAGACCAGATCCTTTAGTGCCAATTGTTTACATATTTTTGCAGTGTTCCCAATTTTCTTAGGCTGACTAAATACTAAAACTATGACAAATTGATCCCTTCAAACAATGTGAGAAACATTTAGGATACTTTATTAAAGATTATCATAATATATGAGAGTAACATTGCCAAATTATTCAGTGTCAAATTCTGGTCATCATGTTGATTGAAAGAAACAGACTTCACTGTTTTAATATAATATTAATTAATACTATTATGTATAATTTAGGTGAGAAGTTTCAATATGAGCTATACAGATGGAGGTCTATTCGGGTTCACAGCTTGTTCTAGATACGATAACATTAGAAATGTAAGTAAAATTATAGTTTTCAAAATTGAACCCAAATTCTATTGATATTCAGAGTATCAATATTATTTGATCAGACAACTGGATTATTTCAATGTTTGATTAAAGGAGAGACCTTCAAGAGATTCAGTCTGTGTTCCTGCTGAAGTTAGACTAGCACCTTACTTGCAACATATCAGTCTGTGTCCCTTTTTTCAAAACGTTTCTTCATAGGTCTCCACTAAAGATTGACAAGTAGTATTCTTCATTTAACTGAGCTATGAGCTTGTGTTTGTCACTACTTTCATATCTTAGAGATCTTCAGATCTTCCTGTGTTCTTACAGGACTTATAAGTACTCTGATCTGTACTCCAAGACTCTAGTTTATAATTACATTAATATATTTCTAGGTGTTGAAGGCAGCATTCGATCAGTTTGTAACTTTAACTAAAGGCGGTATCAGTGAACAGGAAGTTTCTAGAGCCAAGTAAGTTTTCAACAATCTATTTCTTAAGTGTACAATCATATTAAATACTTTTCAACGGTCTTAACATAGAGGATCTTTGTTTTTGCTACAGGTTTATAGACTAAGATATCTATGAAATGAAGGCATACACTTGAGATATAAAGATCTTAATTTCTAAAGTAATGCTAAAATACTTAAGATAATTTCAATTACCATACTTTCAATGATGATCGCATTTTCACATTGGACTCTATTTGTCCTAATTACTGAATTTATACTTCTAGAACCCAACTGAAAGCTGATTTATTCATGTCCTATGAAAATGGTGGATATGTATTAGATGATTTATGTGAACAAGTTTTATGTCACGAGAAAATTACCTCCCCTGCAGAAATTGCTAAGAAAATTGATGCTGTTAGTGTAAAAGAGGTTGAAGCAGTAAGTTGTAATAAATATATTTATCATATATGATAAAAAACTCTTTGAGTTTGATTGGTGAGTTCTGCTCATTCAACCTGAAGCTGAATAAAACAATTTGGAACAGGGTTCAGAATGAAGACTGATGAAGACTTCAAAATGGAGCAGAGAGAAATAGAGGGGTAAATTTTGGATGTGATGTGTTCTGTTCCGTACTGTTTGATTGATGCTTAAGATTGGAACAGACAAAACCTGTTCAGAACTCACCAACAGAGCACCACCCTGGTAAATAGTAGCAAGTTGTAATATTGTATAAGAAAGGTCATTGTAAATATCTTGTTAAACTATATTCTATTATTGCAGGTTGCTAAGAAGATCGGAAGTAGTAAACCATCTATGAGTATAATAGGTAATTTATCAGATGCACCCTACTTAGATGAATTATATAAATAAAGTGTGAAATAATCCAGGAATATTGCAGGCTTTTTCTAAATTTATCATCTGACAACTGATAGAAATAATATTGTCATTATCAAATATAATTTATGAAAAAATGTTATTCATGTGTCAAAAAGTTATAAAAGTAAAATATGACTGATATTTGTTCTTTCTTTCGAGGATTTTCTAGAATTTTATTTTTGTTTTTGATACTTTGTGCCTAAAAAAAAAAGGACAGTTGAGTAAAAATATTGTTGTACATTTTGTTTGACTCAAACACATGCAGTCCACTTAACTTTGCAGATATTGTTAAAATAGTAATAAACACAATTTACTTTGATTTATATAGTTTCAATGACGGTATCTATCCATCCAAATGTAAAGTGGACTGGTTGTATTTATGTCTTGAATCCTACTCATATGTGCACAAATACCTTTGCTTGACTGTTGTTGGACATGGCTAGTGTAGAATCCAGTCCAGTAAAGATATTGCTCTTCCAGGTCTGATTCAAAACTTTAACGCAAGTAGTCAGCTTTATTTCAGTCAGACTAATATTGTGTTCATTTATCTACCTGAAGACGAAGTGGGAATGCTTGTGTTATGTTTTGGATCATACTGGGATGAGCTCAAATTTCTCTGATACCAGAATACACATAAGATTTCTTTATTTTTATTGAGATGAGTATATATACAATATGAAGACTGATAGCAATGATGTGACAGAATAATTTGTTACCTGGGTTCATAGCCAGCTCCTCTGTGAGATGGTGGAAACCCTCTGCCTCTGGGTGGTCCCCTTCCACGACTTCTGGTACCCCTAATACCTCTAGTCGAATCCCCTCTTCCTCTTGTTGTTCCCCTTGAATTAAACCCACCCCTAGCTCCTCTTCCCCTTTCTCCTTTATTTGTATGAGGTGGAGATTTCGGTCTCAGTCTTTCAATTTCCTCAGAACATCCAGTCAATGTACTAATCTCACTATCAAACATATTCAAATATACGTCTGGATCAAAGTTACTACTAGTTAATTCTGAACCTAAGGTTAACCAGCCTGGTCTTATTGTACTATCACGACCAAATAGATGTAGTCTTCGTTTACCCAGACAGAAATGTTCTATCATATGAAATATTTCTATAGGTTTGTCTTTGGTACCATATTCAGGCTCTTCTTCTATGATTAAGTCTATGTCCACATTGGCATGTATAAAATCACCATCAGTACTTCTCTTTACTGTTCCTTTGATACCCATTAAACAATGTTCCTGTAATAAAGGTAACTTTATAAATAATCAACTTAATCAAGAGGCTCGACACAAGCTTTCCACAATTACAATCTTCAGACTGCTTATTTTGAAGAAAGGATATATTAGGTAAAAAATTACATTACTATGTGGGAATGAACAATGTAGCTGTCGGAATGGACTGACTCCCCCCTAATTATCACATGACACTGGTTGAAAGCATTGGTACCTTATAAATATTCATGAACTGATACAAAAGGCAAATAATGGAGATTAGTTATCTTACCTTTGTTCTTTGAAAGACTGCATTTGGCTCTAGATTCTTTTTATGTGAAGGATTTTTGATGTTTGTTTTTATCCAGCATATATCTTCACATCTTCTAAATCCCCAACGTTTTAAACACTGAAATAGTTAAAACAGTGAGACTTACGCAGCGCACCAGTAACATATTTGACATCCCTGGGCCCTTTATTGAACTCCAAATGCATCGCATGTTATCAATCAATACCTTCTTGTTTAAGTTCAATTGTCATTTTTGGTTGCTACAAATTTGTCAAGCCTTAAATTGCATAGACCCTTCCACAAAAGCATAGTGTATAGTTCATAACATGACTACCAAACCTGAGTTACAAAATTGACTATCAAATCAATTTAATTAATCAATCAAAAGAGATAATTACAAAATCAATCATACCTGTCTTCCCCTGTCTAATCCCTCAGCATTACCACACCAGATCCATAGGAAAGATCTCTGAGCTGCTACAGCTGATATATCTAATCTTTCAATCTAAAATACAAAATATACAACATTGGATCTAATCATGTATTAAATGATTCTTTATGGTGTAATTACTTCCTTGTCTTACATTGGGTAAAATTCAAATGTCTTAACGCAAAAGGGTAGTCAAAGCACAATTATAAAGTAAATTTGAGATATTATTTCACCAATTTTCTTTGTCAAAAGATTGTCCTTATTGTCTAATTTAAGGGTGTATAATTTGGAACATCTAGCAGGAATGATTGATAAATTTCACAAACAGTAGGCTAGCAAACTCTTCAACAAATTTCAAAGTGAATTCTGAAGACTATCAAGTTAACAAAAGATATTGAACAATTCATGCGAAAAAAATCAAACCATTACCTCATCCCAACTCCAGAATCTGTCATACACAGCTCCCTGAGTTCTCTGATATTCTTCCAGGGGTGGTTCTACTAATATCACATCAAATTTACATTTTAAATTTCTTAAATCATAATCTTCTAGATCACACTGTAAATACCTGATAAAATGAAAGAAAAAAATATTTATTCTTGTGATAGGAGTAAACATAGCCAATTTGTTTAACAGTGTTGTAACAACAGTGAACACTAAAATGAAACCACTACAAGTAAAACTTACATAGGAGGTGTATTTGTTTTGGCAATCAATTCATCTTTTAACCTGATTAATTCTCTTAACTTTGGATATTCTTCAAATCTGTTAGCTAAACCTGGAATAACAGAAAATGTGAAGTGATTATTGGACATAAAATTGGTGGTATTTTCATTCAAACAAATTGTTAAAAGCCGCACTTACCAACATCTCTGATGAAATTCTGTGGCCTTTCTCCAGTGTCAACAAAGTTCTGACAATAATCATTATGTGGGTTTGCACTCTGTGTTCCCTGTAATTCAAAATCAAATTTTATTCCAATTTTTTATAAAGAATTTAGTACATTGTAACCTCCCTAATACCAAAACAAGCTATTTGAAAGAAAGCTTAATGATAAAACCAGCTGAGTTCAACAAGAGACCAACATTAACTGTTCATCAGTATCATACAGCCTATTTAGGTAGAATTTAAAATAAACTAAAAAGTCTAAATAACTTACCTTCAGAAATGTACTAGAATCTCGGTAGAGTTCATCTTCATCATAGTCATCTTTCTGTAATTAAACAAACACATTGTCAAACAATATTCAGTTAGAGACTGCATAGCTTATGTCAGACTGTTGGCATTAAAAAGAAAGCTTACCAGGAAAGTGTAGTAGTGTGGTCTAAAATACTAAACAAGAGTTGCTTCCCTTTTGTCAAGTATCCTTGCCTTCCAGTGCATTACTGTAAGACTCCAATCCTGTTAAGTATCCAGATGCCTCCATATGTTATGAGTACAAAAATGAAAGTGTAAACTCACTCACCTTTAATCTTTCTTCTTCCTCTTCCTCTTTATTTTCATCAACAGTAACTGGAGTCTGTGGAACATCTCTAGTTACTGGTTCTTCTACTTCACTAAAACACAAATTTCAAAACTAAAAGTATCTGGATCATTATCAATATCATTCTCAAAATGGACAAATTTCTACTCCAAAACAGTTTTATTTGTTTCCATTGCATTGATCTATTTCAATTTTAAAGTAAATGTTATGAGAGAAGCCATTTAAACCATGGAGATGATAATGACTAAGATTAACTACAACATATATTCTTTATAAACTAAACCAACCTTGATATCTTAACTTTATCTTTAACTGTCTCTGTTTTTCTCTCACCAGTATTTAATACAGTCTTTAAACTATCTGTTGAATCTACTCCAAGCTACAATATACAAAACATAAGCTTAGTCTGAGGCAGGGTATCTGTTTGGTAGCTGTCGATTTGTACCAACAATTCGAGAGGAACTAGCCAAAATCATCCTGGGTACTCATTTACACTTAGTCTTGTTCAGTTAACGGTGATGCGGCTTTTGACTCCTTTTACAATCTTTAACAAACGGTTATTGCTGACGATTACCCCGTTCGTAAAATTCACTAACCGTTTCAACACTAGTAATTAAGAGTTGCAATTCAATCATAATCTCGTAATCAAGCTCAACAATGACTAAATTTGATTAGAAGAGGGGTTAACTATTTATTGTAAATCATTCAACATTGATCTGTGATTAATCAAAAGTTGAGTGGCTTTCTTTACTTAGTTCTATCAAATTGACAAAGAGTAGTCTCAGGCAAAGGTTCAAATTAACTTGTACCATGGTATATGTTATTGCATTACAGAAAACTGCCATTTCCATTTGTCATTTTTCACAATAGAAACTCACAAACATATTAATAGAAAGAGCTGGAGGAATGAACCAAGATTTCAAATTGTGGTCGTGGATTGTTTATTGTTTTGCTGTAGCATCATTTTACGGAAATTGCATACTTACAGCTTGAGCGAGAAGTTTCTTTCTCATTTGAGACCTTTCTTTCAACTCTTTAAGTCTATCACCCATTTTGCAAGGCGTACAATCGTTTGCCAACTGATTTAAGTAGAAATCTAGAACGTAAAGAATAAGGCCTGTGTTGAATGTTTTGATTTCACATTTCTTCAAAAGGCAGATTGGGTGGTGGTTGTCGTACAAATTTTTTTTTACAATATTATTTTAGATCTAAAAATAAAAATAAAAATAAAAAAAATAAAACGAAATGAGGTCTATCATTCCCAATCATTATTTGTTTTCAATACAAAAGATTATTTTTCTAAATAAATGATACAATACGGAAATAGTGCTCATGGTCTAGATGATCGAGAAAAGAATTTACGACATCAAGTTTCGTTTAAGGTAATACTTCCGGTAATGGTGGAGTAAAGAACGATTGAAGGATAAAATGGAATGAATTAAATACATTTATTTATCAGTTGCTAGTTGTTGTCATAAAATAATCATATCATCATGCCTAAGTTAACAGACACTATGTGTAAAGCCGAAAAATTTACACATTACTTGCCGAACACATTGAAATACAAGATTTTACTACCCCCTGTTTTGAAAAACAGTGTTTCCACTAAAAAGGATTTGAGGAGCAACAGTAAGAATGATTTTCAATAAGAGCACCATATCGACATTTATAGCTTTGTAGCTTTTGCATCTAGATGGCATCTAGATGGAATCAGGTTTTTCGATAGGCTTAGCATACCTTGCAAAACCTGCAATAATTATTGGAATGACAACAATTTACTGATGTTGGTTTTTAAATGAAAAATCTGAATATTATTTGCCTTCCTTGGCTGAAGGTCAAGGACATAATTAATAAGCAATCACCACATTTATTAAAAAATTAGAGCAATGATATGCTCCAGTATTAAATAATTATATATTTGGGCCCTTCTCAAGATATGAAAAAGCTAGTCACAGAGTGTTATGCTAGGTAAAACATGGCTTTCAAAATTCAGAAATAGTTGTCAACAGAAATGATTAGTTCTTGCCATATTTGATCAACTTCACACAAAAATTGATTTTATTTTTGTTATTTAGAGCCAGTATGTGTGAAAGAAATTGCAGTATTAATGGCTTGTTTGAAGAAAGAAGAATTTAAAAATAACACCTGCGTGAAAGAATATCTCAAGTTTAATGAATGTGTTGAAGAATCAACAGTAAGAATTCAGTTTTCAAATTGTATTCATTGCTTTATGATATTTTTAAAATGAAACTTTATGTCCTATTTCTCTGCACCTAATTGGGCAAATGAAGACAGCCAACCCCATGCATTGTGCAATGAGGTAAACTTTGCAAGGACAGCATCATAAGCCTATTCCTTTTTCAATTTCCAAGTGGCAAGGGATTCTAAGTGGTAGACTTAGTCATTAATGAATATTTACTTAAATTTTTAGAATTAACAGCACAAACTTTTATAATTATTATGTATAAGATATGTCAAGAAGGTAGACACCATTTTTTTACGACAAAAATGGAAACTTCAGGCATCTACCATAGCTGATTTCTTGGCTTTTTTCTTTTCCAGGAAGAACTTGCCAAAATGAGAGAAGCCCAGAGAAAGGGTTTACAAATAGAAGGAAGCAATAAATTCCCTGCAATACAGGTCAATAAAACATTAAGAAGATTTCCTCAAAAGCCAGCAGTCTTTGAATTAAGTAAGCAATTTTACTAGATGTTAGGATTAGATATACAGTAGTCTTTATGTTGTCTTCTAAATATTCACTTACCCAGCTGATGGAGCGCTAGAGTAGGTTGATAACCATTATGAATGAAAAAAATGTAAGCTTATAATGTTAATATGCTTGAATTTGGCTGTATTATATGTTGAACTGAAAAAAAGAGAGGATTGAAAAAAAGGATGAAAACATATTTCTAATCACAATGAAAAATGTGTGACTCAATATGGTTGTGTATGATGCTTATTTTATACCCATGCTTGTATTGACTTCTGTATGTTTCTTTTTTCAGCAAAGAGACAAAACCCAGAGCACAAGAAAAAGTAAAATATATATATATCTGTAAGAGTGTTGTTAGTGTGTAAGATTTGACTGTAAATTAAATGTTTTTACATTACAAAAATTTAGTTTTAACATCTCTGGGTTTCAGATAAAATTATCTGAATAAGGGGGGCATCTGATATGCTTGACCTTGGAAGACAGATTGTTGAGGGAAATCATCTGTGCTAGTCAGCTGTCACACCCATGAGTGCAAGCATAGAACAGCTTCTGCATAACTGAAATATCATGTGAGACAACTCAAAGAGAAGAGTTATGTCCCTTGACACACGAAACTCATGTTCTTGAGCATTCCAAATTATCTTGTGGTTTGATCAAACTGTTATGATGGCGCTAACAGGAAAGCTATAATAATCCCCTATCCCCTAAGGTGGAAAATTATTCATTTTATCGGGCCCAAAGGGCGATCCTTCCCCTTTCTGGTCTAGAAACAAGTTGAAAAAACCATTCGTGTAATATTTCTATCTATATTGTGAACATTATGTCTATATACAATGAACTTAAATAAAATACAATATATAAACAACAAATATTATTTACATTAATTTAGATAATCACTATTTAACATCTAGTCTATATACTTCATTATTTACTATTCAACATCAGAAATATAACAACAACGTGAATTTATATCTATTATAAATCGGCAGCACTGGCTCAGGCAGGGGAAAACGAAGTTATTGAATCCATCTAGCAAGCAAAATTGTTTTCCTCGATATAGTTACTCGGTTAATGAAAATTAATGATATACAAGGATTGCACCCCCTAAGATAGTATCTGGCAAATGGCGTGCTTTATGTCGATATTCAGGCCTTCTTATCCGGTATAACTACACCCCCTCCCCCATTACCGTCCATTCATTGAGTTGATGAACACTGTTGGGCATTGCTTTTTATCAACAAGATGGCACTGAACTGAGCAAACGGTCTACCCTGCTACTAGTGATAGCACCCTTGCAACAGATTGATACTTGATAGTGCCACAGAAAACCTTTCCTGTTCACGAAGTAAGCAGAAAGGAGGTAATTTTACTGTGGCTTGAATGAGGTTAGTCCTAACACCAGTCCCGTAACAACCTCCAACCGATGGCAAAGAATCGGCCTTTTAGAATAAGGAGCTAAGTATTACACTGATTTCTTTTCTACTAAAGCGCATTAAAGCTAGAAATGCAACGCATAATCTACCTACTAATATGAAATCCATTACCAATTAAATTATGAATTGAAATGTGTCCATTTTTCACAATACAAAATTGACCATCGTCTCTATTTAGCTCAACATTGTGCACCGACGCCGATCTCAATTTCTTACTGAGTCCTCAAAAGCTCAGTATAGTGCTGAAATGCGTATGAGCTTCATTTCCACAGCTGTAACTCTGATTGAACTGTGTTAGCGAAAGATATGCGACGGGTAAGATGCAACTACATATACATGTATATCAGTTTCCAGAAATACGTTGTTAATCTCCGGAGAACAGTTACAATCTTCTTCTCCGAAGATGCACATTGTTCACACAATAACTAATCGTCTTGACAAAAACGAAAATATTTAACTTTATTCACATAGCACTTTTGTTACACCAAGAGTCTTGTTTCAGCCATAGAAATAATCAATGGCAGCCACACGTAGCTGCTACCATATCATCATATTGTTTTAATATAACATTTTCATCATCGTCAAAGTATAAGAGACTGATTGAATACAGTTTATTTGGTACACAACAGGGTGTTTCTACCGATTTACCAACACCTAACGCATACACAATACTTTGTACCGTAGCATGATTCGTTGGTTTTTGACTTTGTCCTAAAGGAAACGGACAGGTGCCCGTACAATGATTGGCGTTATAACCTTTAGGAGAGATAATCCAACCCGACCATCCGATCTCGTCGAAGTCTACATACATATCTTGTTTAGTACAAGATCGTTTCCTCATAGGTCGACTATATACATCATATGTTCGCTTTTTTCTCCCACTCTTTCGTTTAGATCTAACGCTTCGCCTTCTCCTACGACGTCCCATTGGACCCGCAGAACGACCACCTTCATTCATCATCTTTAACATCTGTAAAAACTTACTATTCCGACGAGGTTTAGGTGCGTTCTTTATCTGTTCATGTTTCAATGCACTTTCTTTTGTTTGCATGTAACCTGAAATATAAAAACCGTTTAATTGAGTCGCAGGCTGGAATCAGATTGTTGTACATTGTGTATTTGTAAATTTCCAACAGGTGGTACTGATAAGGCCTCGATATCGCAACGTCCCCGAGACATAGTTATTGCACAGTTATTGAACAATTATAAAGCAATATGTGCAAACGTTCTATGGAAAGCGTAACTGCACACTTACAGGAGATTGTTTTTCCAAATGTTTCCGAGAATTGATGTTCCAAAGTACACAGTAAGTGGTTTTTGCTAAGAAGTGAGAAAGTGCATTGTGTTCAAATCACATCCCCCATTCGTCATATACTTCCTCGGGGTTAATAAAACCATGTGAAAACCTGTATTATACGATGTAAGGAAGTTGTTTTCTTAAAGTATAAAATGATCTTACGTACCATCATCCTCTGCTGAAATATAGCTAGGATGTCTCACCGTACCATCATCAGTATAAACCACTAATATTGGCTGTTTACTATCATGGTGCTCATTTCTCTGAGCAAATCTAATATAGCTACCATTAACATGATCTCCTTTACGAGAAGTTGTCGTTATCAAAAAACCTGTAATTAAAAATGTGTTTTATACTTATTTCTGATGTCGATCAATCGTTGGAGGATCTCTTAGGATAAAAGTTTCCTGGTCAAAATTCACGAAACATAAGCTTGCATGTGCTTTAACTTTGTACGTATCATCACATGGACACTGCAAGTGAGTCTGTATTTTGACCACAGAAAAACGTAGTTATTCAAAGCAGTAGACGGACACAAAGAAGATGGTTTTATCCACTGAGCATTGTTGTTATGGTATAAAATATGGCATGTCATAACGAGGAATTTGCAACTTATATTTGCATAAAGATTCAGCAAAGTTACTTACCAAAATTTGGTGCTGTTTTATTTCTCCAATCATTAACTGCTTTAATAACTTGAAAAACTTGCCAACCATGTCCATAAGCTGATGTAGTTACTTTATCTAATAATCTCAGACCTTCTTGCTGGTGGATCTTTTTAATATCTAATACTTGATATATACTCATCTAGAATAATAGAAAAGAAAATCATGTGATATTGGAATTATTTGAGGGAAAGAAGACTAGAAATTTATTGCAATTTGTCCATAGGACAATTGTAGCCTGATCTGAAGGTGTTTTTTGGGGGAATTATGTTTTATTCCATACGAATATCAAATCCAAGGAACGAGAATTTTAAGGGTCAGATTTGTTGGGCTTGATTTCAAATTGTTGTTTTAGGATGGGGTATCAAGTGTGCCTGTGGAATTGAACGATAGTCAATTGAAGTGTGTCTTTGTAGGAAATTGGGAAGTTGTCGACATCAATCATATCTGTATTTTTAAAACACAAAGATTATTAATTGAATTACCTGTATAACATGAGGTGGACTAGCTTCTCTTGATGACGCTGGCTTAGGTCTCATTTTGAAAACTCGAAATTCAGCATGAAGAATCTTCTCTTGTTCACTAAGATGCGATACATTATAATGGAAATGCATTCGGTGTATTGAATCTAAAAGGAAAAGAATGCAGGATATAAAACTTTTATTTATTGAGCCAGAAATGTTAATGGTTTTTAATGCATCCTATATAACGGACTAATGAAGAGGAATATAAGCCGTACTTTTTAGAAATTGTACCTTAACAGTGGCTTCAAATCTCACACTTTGTTACTATTCCACTTTTTGTCTTAAAAGAGCTGGCAGGGAAAACTTATTTCTAAGTCGGCGACCTGCATCATTGATCATTGTTCAGCTGCAATATAGGCGCTTGGTAGTTTATTTGTGGTTATTGTTTCTTTGGGATGAGAAGGACATAAATAAGTTTGAAAATTCTCAAAAACAAGGCGGACATCTTAGCATTCTCCTTGAAATAGTTCTGTTAAATGTATGTACTTCATCTTGACAATTAACAAAGTACAACAGGTGGCTGGCATTATCTTGTTTGTGGTATTATTTCATTTTAAATACAGGTTCAGAATACAACCCGATACAAAACTCAGCAGGTAGCTTGCTTAATACCAACATACTTGACAAAACTTTCCTAGTCTTTCCACGAATTATTGTATTAACATTGACTTGTCTAGTGCTCTTGTGAATTCATTCAATTGTAAAAAGACTTTAGAATAATATAACCACCTCAAGTAGATACATTTGCTTTATTTGTTACATTTTTTTGTAGTTGTTACAAGACACCTGTGTAAGCTTATCAACAAACTTCTTTGTAATAAGTGTACCAAATAAATGTATTATTAGCCATATGAACTTTCTTAAAGATGGATTTCTTTATATTTTGGTGTCAAATTAAGCAAACTATTTGATTAATTGGTGTTTCTAATGAATTATCATGTATTGCTAATCATATCATTATGTTCTTATTGCATATAATTAACCAATCATAAATGTCCACGTACGTACAGTCTGGATAAACCAAAAAGACTTTTTGACCTTTCTTGATCGGTCACTCATTGAAATTCTGCTGATAATTCTTTTCTAATTTAGCTAATTATGAATTAATTATAGACGTGTGAAACAAACTGGTATTTTTCCAAGTCATTAAAACACATCTACTTTCTATTCATATAAGTATTAGCATTTTCATTTTCATAAACGAAAATAAGGGAACCCATCTTTAAAGGGATAAGTTCGAAGCGACATGAGGTATTCGAAACGTTATACATGTTCGGCAATACCTGCGACACCAGATACAATTTTCACCAAAGTAAAGCTCTTATCGTATGAGTGTTTAGACACAAGAAATTAAAGTGTGTTGGCGATAAAAAAAAAAATCCTTTTTAAAACATCAGTTGTCGAAGTGTTTTCGCAATTTAATGCATTTAAATTGAATTGAATTATTAACAAAATAATATAATATCCCCTTATTAGGAAATAAAGCGAAAGTAAAATTTCATAGTATATTGATCAACAATTGAAAGTTTAAGCATGGAATGTGTTCCTCAGTGAAATCATGCAGAAGACATTTCCGAATAATTATTATATCTATTGAAAATAATCTTGGCGTTGATTAATTCAATTCATATTCTGTTCAGAAGAATTCGAAATATCCAAACATCTCACACCTGTATCGTAACAATAAAAACTTGAAAAAACTGTGGATAAAAATTACCAGAATAGGGATGGTTAAAACGATTTGAACTCTTTCAAAAGCGAAACAATTGGAAATAAAAAATTGTTGAAATTTTCTGCATTTCCTAATGAAATAAAATATCTTCAATTTAATCACACTTAAAATATACAGTTACAGATTTATTGACTCAAGTAGATGTTTAAAAAAGGAGTGCCTTCTTAATTGTATATGTTCAATACGAACTTTATATTAAAGGGCCAATCTCAGTTACATTTTTTTTTTCAAAAATAACAAGAATTTTTTGTAGCATAATTTAAAAACAAAAAATTGCTGTTATCATATTATTTATTTCAGATATAAAATGTTGTCTTAATCGTAGCATTACAGATATCGTCAAAATTATCTTTGTCTTTGAATCAAATGTTAAACGCCTATGCGCAGTTCCAAAATGCTCTATCCATTCTTCAAGCTCTGTCAACTTATAAAGTACATACTTAAACGACTGAATGCCTTTAACACAAATTACTACCACTGCTATTCTCGATATCAGAACAAAAAGAAGTGTTTTATTTAATCTTTTTTTACAGCTTAAACATACGATTTTATGTTGCACTCGAGGAGACGATTGACTTTAAAATATGATTTAGTGAGATAAATGGTTTGCAGTCGGTACGTGTGTTCCTCATTCGTCTTATTTTATGTCTTCTACTAATTAAAGAACATAGCAGCCAAAATTAGGGAAGAATAAACGAGAGGATATTCCAAGTATTTCAAGATAAATAAAGCTGTTTCTAAAATTAGATACCATTCTATTTGTCATTTCAAGAAGTTTATTTAGTAACTATTGTAAAGTTTAAGAAGCATTATGAATGTAGCAACATTCAACTCAATGTTTCAAATGCTTATACAGGTGGGATTACCAACACAATTGGTATACATGTACTTTAATTCTATCTCGTTATGCCTACTTCCATGTCTTTCAAGATGAAGATGTTGCAAACAGAATTATCTTAAACCTGCTACTTGCACGCGTTTTGGGGAGTTCACATAGACCATATTTATCTGGTATTGCCATTAATATAATATACATTAGATTAAGATGAGTGTATATCATTATGCACAGATTATGTCAAAAAATGAAATAAAAAGAGTTAAAAAATTATTGAAATTGGGATAAGACAAGGTTAATATTTATCGCCCATTTTGTTTATACCACGCGTTAAGATATCTGAGAAAAGGTAATAAACTGCAAACTGGTAGGAATATGCTTGTAGTGTCTTAAAAGTTGCCTCGTTAGAATTGGACGTCGAATCTAATGCTACAAAATTACAGTTAAAATATAAGGAAAGTATTCCGTAAGTGCAAGTATCCGACACCGTGAAATTGCAGAATGTGTCCATGAATCGATGATGACTTTAAGAAGAGAAGAACAATAATCATTGTTACCTGCTTTCAGAACTCAGACTAAAGTCTCCCCATTTCCTGGATCGTGTTTCACTCCAGAGTCAATAAAAAAACCCTTTAGTGTGTTATCTTGAACAAATCATCTATTTAGTTCAGCATTCAAAACTTAACTAAATAACTACTTTACTATAATATAGTAGTGTTATTTTATTCTCACCCCAAATAACGATATCAATGACACCTTTTTATTCATTAACACTGAATGGGAGTTTTCTTTGGTTCATATCCGATAACCTTATTATAGTTCAAGCCCTCCACTTGGATGTTCTGAGTATTATCAGAGACCTACATCAGTCACCTATATGGCCATTAACGTGTACTAAAATAATGACCATTCTCGATATGCTGAGATGCAATAATTACCGACAGAGAGAATATAAATTCGGATAAACTTAGCCATAAGGAAATCGACAAGAATAACTTAGTTTCATTTCAAATGCGGAAAGGCATCGGTCACATATATGGTCATTAACTAAAATCTTCACAAAACATACTTTTTTCAAATAATGACCATTTCGTTAATTTCAAAATTAGTAGAAGAGATCATCTTGGATAAACCAATCTAAACGAACTCAACGAGGATAGTACATTTCATGAGCTGAAAAAGTATTTTCAGTCACTTATATCGATTAGAAACAAGATATTAGTTAATAGTTTGTTCTTTTATATTAGTTAATAGTTTGTTCTTCATAGGGGAACTACATCATACGCCACGTATATTACATTATTAACCCCTTTCGTTGTCTTCTACAATGCCACAGTGTTGAGGTATGGGCACTTGAAAATTACCTATAACGTACTGATGTCTCTTGAAGAGGATAATGGCGTACTTGTTAGGTGAAAAGTTACTATATAGTATTGCAAAAAGTATATTTTTAATTGATGTAAACTATCTGCGCATTTTATTCCTCCAAGCTTCAGTGGTCTGGCATTAATTTTAGGCTTACATCTTGAAACTCAAGAAGTTTTTATCCCTGCAATCAAAGTGTTAAATCTATACTTTCTTTGACAGTCTGTCGCTTACTTATAGAAAAGGAACTTCAATGAAATGGAGAATATCTTTCAAACACGCAACAGAAGTCAATGAAGTGGTGAAATTTGTGTCAGTTTGTTTTCAACCAGGAGATATTTAATCTTTCAAGGTGTCTTAAAAACTGAAAACTTAGAACTAAAGGGATAATCAGTCTAGAAGCATTATCACAAGAAACTTTTGTTTTATTCACAAGCTATTCAATTCTTGGCAAATAGTATACAGTACGTGTATATGCAAATATTATTCTTCGTTATACGATGATCGGCATGGCATTAAGTGGTATCTGCGAGGGTGATTTGGGGTAGGTTTCCTGATAGCAAACCTTGTATCATGGTTATGATAACATAAATATGAACTTTGATATCTGTCTTATCATTTCCCAGAGACGATTAACACCCGAAAGCAATAATAATCGTATCAGAAATCTGCATTGATTAAGCAATAGTACATATGCACTACACCTACTTTTTCGCAAATGGTTTCACTTATTGTTCGAAATAAAAAAAAATCAGTCACCAATCAATTGATTGAGTTAAAAACAAACAACACATATATAGATATATAAATTGAATATGAGTAAATACTACAAATATGTCTCCTCTATTGATAGTACTATATTGATTTGTTATAATATAAGATTTCTCACAAGTTGTTAAAGAACGTGACCCCACCCTTTTCATTCAGATACGCGGGTCAAAATACAAGTTGGTGTAAATAGGTTCCAAGATAAGCCAATTAATTCAACGCTATTCATTTAACAAACCTTGTGTCAAAACGCCTACAAAATGGCAAGACTTCAAAGGGAAAAATTAAAATACAGTACACCAACAGTTTCAACAACTAAATCCAAGTTATTTTCCAGTAGACAGTTTCAGACACTTTGTTTTCCAACCGTAGGTGGAATTGAAAGTCTATATCTAAAAGGATATACAGCCATCTGCTTTTTCTGTCTGATGAATCCCAATTTCATTGGAATGCATGCAAAGCCGTGTCTTTTAAAACTAATGGTTTACTATTCTTGGAGATCATTAGTACCTTGGCCTCATGAACGGAAATGGTTCGGCAAATCAGTATTATGCTTGGAAGCTTTTGGATTGGCCAGTCCCTAAATTGATTTTAAATTTTTTTTTTTTCATCCGATCAAATCTGAATTTTACCATAGTTAATTTTTTGAAAAATAAGGCCTTTCACTTCTCGAAATTATTTAGATACTCGACTCTGAAGTAATCTCATTTTTGACAGTCTGTCGTAAAGTTGCACTAGTGCCCTCCAGCACCTTCATCTTTACGGAAACTGCCGAGAACTGCCGATTGCAGGCATCTATATTGAAATATCCCACTTATATCTGAGAAAAATAATTAGACAATGATGTAGGTAAACTATCTCATTCGTCATTGAGTTTTCATCTCTTTTCTACATTTCTGAATATATCTGTCGTCAGTGTAATAGATGTAACAGACTAGTAATTTAGGGAGAGGGTAATATTCTGGCATTGTGGAATATAATGATGTCTGACTATTTTAACTCATTATTTTAATGTCACAGAACAATGTTAATGTAGCAATGTTTCAACACATGTTATGAACTGTAAATCAATTTGTTTAAAAAATAACAGTTAAATTATGAGATGGTAGAATTAATGCCTTTCTCTAGATCTTCACGTAATATACTCTCAATTGTATATACCCCTGTTTCAATAAGTAACCTACTATTATATTTCTATTTTGTTAAATCTAAATCTAGGATTATGTACCTACATTATTCACAATTGTATACAGATATTTTCTTTTCATTTATCCAATTTACACTTAATTCTATACAATTTACTTTCAATTATGTATAATTTTATGTACATTTACGTTGCATTATGAACTATTTAGGTTACATTGGGTAAAATTCCCTTTTCAATGTGTTAAATTTAATTTACATTATGTACAATTTGTGTTACATTGTGTACAATTTTTCTTACATAGTGTACAATTTTTCTTACATTGTGTACAATTTTTCTTACATTGTGTACAATTTGTCCTAAAATGTGTACAATATACACTAAACTGTGTATATTCTACTTTGTATTGTGTACAATTTTTATTACATTATGTAAAATTAAGTTTGCATTATGTACAAATTACTATACATTATGCACATGAGTGTTACATTGTGTACAAATGACAAGTAGCTTGTTTACAATTTGCTTATTTACAATTAGTGTACGCTCTTTCTCTTTTTGGATACATTTAAGTCCAAAAATTTGAAGTTTACACTTTACTTCAAATCAATTTTTATGCTCATACACTTTTATATGCTTTATACACTTGCTCACGGTACAGGATGAGCTTTCGTCAAATAAAATAGGCTATCAAAATATTTTTAAAAGTGGCATCAAATTTGTATTTGATATCTTAAAAGCTAATGCAAAATTATACGAAGATAATATCGTTTAAACAAATAATTTAAATGGGTCCAAATTGCTTGACAAAAGAGTTTGTCTGTGTTCATATTTCATTTTATAATTTGTCTAGTATTAAAGTCTACTTTTTCAATAAAATCAGTCAAAATTCTGAAATAATACTTGTATTTTGACGTATGCATATTCATGTTTGCATGTTGGTAAACCTTATTTAGGGCTTCGTAATAACATAAAAAACGAAAATCATGAGAATATAACAACAAAAAAGAAGATTTTCGGGAGAAGAACTCATTGATGGAGAAAAGAACAACTACCACCATAAGATCAGGTGATTGCTGAAAATACGTACCTTTATCTGGAAAACTTCTTACGATATTGGCATTGTAAGGATTCTGTTGTTTGGTTAAACCACCAGCGTCTGTTACATCTTTAAATAATTCCACCATATACTGGGGCGGAGACCGGTGGATGACTTTCGCCGGTATTTTAGATATTCCAAATAATCTGGAGAGTCTATCTATAGGATCCCTGGGTTCGTTAGACTCTGGATACACACTTCCAATTAATAACATCATATAAACCACAAGAATCACACACCATTTCATCATGCTGTTTTTCACACTATCTCCCGATACCCTTACGTCTGACCATATCATTTCCTCAAATCACACATAAATAAATAAATAAACAAACACACACTAAGATGTTTGTTAATCCAGCTCGGGAGGATTAAAACAACAACTGGAACACACGGATTAACTAACTACTCCTTTTATCTGATACAGAACACCAGCAATTTCAATCTACCAATAGTTACATACAGACACAACATAATGGGTCCCAGAAAAAACTCCCAAAAACTTAGACAATTTAGGCTGGTTTGACAGTCGATGTAGATATATGATATAAAGTGTTTATGTTGTATGTCACGGCACCTGGAAAATGGGCGACCACGTGTGAGCTCTTCAATATACCTCCATTGTTCCTCGCTTATTAACTAGTATTTGAGGTTAGCGTTTTATTCTACCTTTACAAATCGACGAATATAAAAGAAGCGAACACCTGTGAGACTTGTCAATGAATCGTTTCTTCACTTCAACTTTTTTTCAATGCCTAGTAAATAAAGATATATGTTCAACTCCTTGATTTTATCTTGATGCACGATTCAAGAGTCCTTATCCATTTCTGACCAAAGTGAAAAAATAAACATTTGTCGTTCAACAAAATATATATTCCTCTTCAAAACATTCCCGAAATTCTGTGGTATAATTTAAGGGTAAGGACCTAGGCTGTTAGATGATTAGTCAAGATATGGAGTGACAGTTGATGATTCTATTGTTAATTGTTTAAAATGAAACTTGTACATCAATAATGAATAACGCCCACCTTGTATCCTCTAACAAATTTCTCCACATTGTATTTTAATCTGAACATTATCCAAATCTTCTAGAAATGGTCGAAGTTTGATGATTAAGCTTCTATGAACGTGTCGCGCTAATAAGTGAAAATTGTATGCATTCGATCCGATGTAGTTCTGTGATTAATCCTCAAACACGCAAACTGTGAAACAATTCGTCAGTGGCGTTAATCCCCAACACATTTCAAAATGATTGATTTAAATATTTAACACGCCACTAATACTGTTACAACTCTGTAAATAAAAAAGTTACTGATAACCAACTTGGACGCGATTACAATCAAAACATTATAAATCGGTTGATATTAATTTAAACACGCTACTGTTTCTCGGATACCTCTGGAAAAAAGGTAACTAATAACCGACTTGGACGCGATCGTTAGCTCCAGATTGATATATTAATCCACACTAGACACATCTGATACAAATATCTTGCCGTAGTTGATGAGTTATTTCATTTGTAAGAAATGACTCACAAGTTTAAATGATACTATTGAAATGACACATGATGCAAAAGGATGGTGGGTGAAAGGAAGTCGAAATATTCACCATTTCATCAACAGATATTCAATCAATTTCCCACACGTTATCACAGAAATATTCCCGAAATTAACCATCAAAATGAGAAAATTGGACTACCATTATAACTGACTATAGTGTACCAGTCCAATCCACTATTGTACTATGTATAGAGCAAGACATGTAATGTACATATTAAATTATAAAGGGGTTGAAACTGATATGGAGGCACTAAAGATCTCCCACCAAGCTCTTGTTTGATTGAATTGAATAACCCCGAGAAATTACCACTATTTTAAAACATACTAATTCATCCATGAACTGCGATATTTTTAGTCAGTGTTTTGTAAGGGAAATAAAATATTAATTCTCGACATCTAGTTTGTATAGAGATCTATATTCAATGCTCGAGTCTTCACACGCAAATTAAAAACTGGCCAATTCACGGTGTGTATGGATCATTGAATACTAGTCCTCGTACTGAAAACAGTTCATCAATTGATTTGGTTAATCACTTACATTTTTCTTACATACAAATGTCATAAAACTAATTGTTGGATACACCAAATTGATATTTAATAGACTTGTTGCATAACTACGAGGTGTATCAAAATGTTCATTTTTTAGTTTATCTCAATTATGGAGGGGGATCTGTGCCAAAAGGAAATTCTTTGCATTGTCTATTCATGTAGTTGTGAACACAGATAGCCTACCGTATAGGATTCCTATTCACAAAATTAATTCAGCATGCATCAAACTGGTATTTAATACATTTGTTATTAGAGGAGGAATATCGAGATGTTCATAATTCATTTTATCTCAGTCACGGAGAGGGATCTGTGCCAAGACTAAATTCTTTGCATCGTCTACAGTTGTTAACACAGATCGCTTCTACATTTTTTCAGGTACCCTTTAAGCAAAATTAACTGAGCATACACCAAACTGGTATAAAATAGACTTGCTATAATAACTTAGAGGAATATTTATGATGTTCATATTAATTTCCTTTCAACTATGGAGGGGGATCTGTGCCCAGACTAAATTCTTTGCATCGTTTAATAGAGCCTATGCATTTTTATAGAAATAAATTAGGATATACGATACATCAGAGTGATATTTGATACTTATTCAGAATCAGTTGAATCAAATGGTGTCATGTCTTCTCAAAAGTCTCCTTTTGCATGATCATGGAGAAATGTTCTTTGGCTAATTTCTTTTTGACGTAGGTCTGGTGGCAAAAGCCACATCAAAAACCTTTGCAACATAATCCCTTTTGAACATTTATTAAATTGATGTTGCAGACTCTGTAACGGTGCTTAATATATAATATATACAGGTAGAATATGAGCTGATAGTATTGTTCAATGTTGGTTGAATATCCCCAAGGTATGAATTAATGAAGTAATCAATAGTATAGGTGTATCATTAATTCATAATACCTTCACACCTGGTAGCTAGATCCTGGTCAATAACACATAAATAATAAACTTCTGTATACCTCTACTCCAGACCTCACCCCAACCCCCAAACCTCACATACCACAACACCCACCCCCAGTATCAAAAATATATTCAATAGGAATCTTCATAGGGATAGAATTTTACTCTGAAAATTATCACGCTAAAGAATAAATATATCGTTAGCTTTTTTGAGAAATATGGGCCCTGAGTCTTATGCAGCATATTTGCAATATATTTTTTTCAAAACTTATACATGTAGGTCTGTATGACATATTTCATGTTAAACGTATTTCGATAATCAGAATCAGAGTTACTGCCCTTTGATTAGTTATCAACATGTTAAGAAATTTTGTGGAGCGGACCAGAGCTTTGATCAATATTTCACACTATAAGATATTAGTAGTATTAAGTAAGAACATATGGTTATTATACAAACTAATATATCATTCTTTATATAGTAATCAAATTAACATAACTAATTAGCATAACACCTGAATAGAGTACAATAGTCTGAGGTATCAATGTTAGACTACTACTAATTTATGTATTTTTCATCGTGATTGTCGCATTGAAGATACCGCTTCTTTAATCATTTTGTATTTGTAAAAAATATAGCATTTAATTTCTGCATAGAGGATCTTTCAATTTCACCATAAAGTTGTGGCATTTTAATTAAGGTTTAAATTCTGGTGAGAGCTCGATATATAATTCTTTTGCTAATTTATTTAAAAAATAACGTTTTAATTTACAATCTATCAATATTATAACAATGCAAATTACCACTGTTCAAGTATAATTTGAAATAAGAAAATTTCTTAATAATAAGAATTGATTACAGTTGAAATCTGAAAAGAATAAAAAAAAATTCTTCATTGCACATTGTATGACATTGTTTCCCCTCATTAACTCGATATTGAGCAGAAAACTATGATATTAATCTCCATAACATTTCATATAGTGTAGTTCTTAGGGATTCTCAGACATACTTCACATAGAAGAAGATTCAATTTAATCAAACCTACAAGAGTTATCTCCCGACACACGAATACCATTTTGTATCTACTTGATAAATTCCTCTTCAGTAGCGACCAATTACTTAACGCATCCTTCGATATTGAATACGTTAAAATTTATCCTTTATAGTGTTAAGAAGGATAATCGTATATTTTAAAAAAGCAGCATTTCAGAGCTGACAGGGAGAATTTATTAGATGGTTTAGGTGCTGGCAGGTCACCTATTCGGAACAGCAAGCCTAGCTTACATTATACGTAAATAAGTCATAGTACAAATGAAATAACATGGACTTTTACGCTCTTCTCTTCAAGTCATAAAAACAGATGGGAATGATTGATGACATGAGATTAATTTAGAATTATAACAATCAGAGTAAAATGGACAATAATAAGCCATTGTTCTGAAAGAAAAAAATCTCATTTGCATGTAAAAACACCTTTTGATTTTGCGTGCCAGTCTGTTCTGACGTTAAGCAAGAAAATTGGATTTAAATAATGAATGAGATCTTTTCATCTTGGACAATTGCAAAGACCGATAACTCCTTCAGAGAATTCCCATGGGACACAAATCACGCAGTAAAATGACGTTTTAAAGTCTAATTAAAGGCCAGAAGTAGCTGATAAATAAATAATTGATTAAGTTGGCTCACATACAGATACTTATATCCCAAATATCTTATTTACCTGTAAGTTTTCAGCGGGTAAACGTCCTCTTGTACACCTGGTCACGATAACAACAGGCTCATTGAAGACGTTGTTCGGATTACAGTTGCCTTCATGGCAGAGCTCCACATATTAATGTTCCTGGTTTTTCTAGGAATAAATCTGGGTAAGAATCTCTATAGCATTTTGCTATGCACTTATAGTATGACGGATTTAGTGATAAATTTACGGATATACATCTCTGGCTGGATTAGGAATTTGGCTTTATTATCTTGGTTGGTAACAGTCCTATCTTGGTTTGTGTAGTGGTCATAATAAAAGCTTCTGATTTATAGGGTCTTTGCAAAGTAAGTAGTCAGAGTACGTGGTGAGCAGCACGACTACCTCCAAAGAGCGACCGAAGTCATCTCCTGACGGCTTGTTTAATACAAGTTTGACCAATTTAAATAAAACTACGAAGTCCAAAACTTACTGTGCATTGATCATTTGATATTAATTCA